CTTGTTCGAGGTACCAACAAAAGTGAAGTAGGAAGTATCGAGGTGTGGGAAGTCGGAAGCTGTAAGTGGAACCGCAGAGTCTTAATTAAGTGGTAGGCGCGCGCCAGCACGATGACCGGGGAACGACGCGATGCCAGGGTCGCGGAACGCGCTTTCTCGCGATTCAATTAAACACGGCTCGGTGGAGTTCCTTGGTCCGTGCGTACGCGACCCAGAAAGATGGGGTCTTGTCTTCGTGCCTCCCCTCCCCTACTTCCAGGCTCGTGCGCAGCGGTACCTTACATAATGCAATTGGGACACGGTTGGTTTCACAGTGTCGGCTCATATCGCCTACGACCGCACTGTCTACCCCTGTTTCCCCATGACGGCCACAGACGGCTTGTGGCAATCGACGACCGGCCTATTGAGGCAGCGGAGGTGCCCGGCATTCTAGCATGAACGGCGGACAAAGCCGCCATCCCACGATACCTGTCTTGGCTCATGGCAATCTTCCTTTTCCTCGCAGATGTGTTTTGATTCTCTCCCACAATGACACAGAGTCTACACATAAACTGATAATGACCCCCCCTAGTTGAGGTGAGAGTCCCGTGTCATGAGACACAGACAATCTCTGAATTCATATACACATTCACTCGGATATGCATGGGCTTGGACGGGCATTTCGTCTCACCTAATCCGGCGCATTTGTTAGACAGAGGGGTCACTAGGTCACTAACGTTCCCAACGTTGCTGTTTACCTACTTCCATATCCCTCCCTAACAACCCTGACTACCAACTCATATTTTGCCTTTTACGACCTGTGGTGTTCGTGGAAACACTTTTCACCGTCATGGTTGACGCGGATATGAGAAGCTATAACTCCCGAGTGGATGAGTTCAGGGATAGGGAGTTCCCCATGATCAAAGGTTCATTGGTTCATCAACTACAATTATTCTATCTCAACTTACTGACCAACAACACAGACTCCATATATCTCGACCATGCCGGAACAACGCTATATGCCAAGTCTCTGGTTGACAGATTCTCTGCAGAATTGACATCAAACTTGTTGGGCAACCCCCACTCCGCTTCGCCTTCTTCTCAGTATAGCACCTCTCGCATTGAAGATATTCGCCTCAGACTTCTCCGTTTTTTCAACGCTGACCCTGAGGAATTTGACTTGGTCTTCGTTTCCAACACCACAGCTGGGATCAAACTTGTTTCCGACGCCTTCCGAGCCTCACCAGAGGGCTTTTCTTACGTATACCACCAAGCTTGCCACACAAGTATAATAGGGGTTCGCGAAGAGGCGCGTGAGAGCAGATGCGTTGCGGATGGCGATGTGAGACGTTGGATTGATGGGAAATCTCCTCTGGATGATTCGGAAGCATCAGACTCGCCCACGCTATTTTCATACTCAGCTCAATCTCATATGGATGGGCGACGTTACCCGTTAACGTGGCCATCTCTACTGCGAGAGTCGCCTGCCGTCTCGCACCGGCAATTTTTTACGCTATTGGACGCAGCCTCACTAGTGGCCACTTCTCCTCTAGATCTCAGTAACTCGGAAACGGCACCCGATTTTACGGTTTTGAGTCTTTACAAAATCTTTGGCTTTCCAGACCTTGGCGCTTTGATTGTTAGAAGGCAGGCCGAGCCGATTTTCAATCAAAGGCGCTATTTCGGGGGTGGCACCGTCGATATGGTTGTCTGCGGAAAAGAAAGATGGCATGCTCCAAAATCGACGTTCCTTCATGAGAGGCTAGAGGACGGCACTCTTCCATTTCATAACATCATAGGACTTGATGCTGCTCTAGATGTTCACGCAGAGCTCTTCGGAAGCATGAGTAGCGTAGCATCGCACACAGCATTTCTTAGAAACCGACTACACGATGGACTTGCCAGCCTCAAACATGGAAATGGGCTGCCCGTCTGCACTATCTACTCAGAACGACGCAGCGAGGTTAATGGCTCCGTAGGAAGCGGGCCACTCGTCTCGTTCAACATTCGCGACGCTGCCGGAGCCTGGATCAGTCTATACGAGCTTGAAAAATTAGCCACGTTGAAGAACTTACATATTCGAACCGGCGGCGTCTGCAGTCCTGGAGGTATCGCTTCAGCACTCGGCCTGAGCCCATGGGAGATGAGGAAGAATTTCTCCGCTGGGTTTCGCTGCGGCACTGACCAAGATGTCATCGCTGGAAAGCCGACTGGCGTTATTCGAGCAAGTCTTGGTGCGATGAGCACTATTTCCGACGTTGACTTCCTGATCGACTTTATTGATGAATTCTATCGAGAAGAAGTGTCAGTTGATGACTGTCGCGCCGAAAACCAGACTTCATCGATAGGGTTCCAGGTCCAGGGCATCAGCGTCTACCCGATCAAGAGCTGTGGCGCCTTTTCTGTTCCGCTTGGTATGGACTGGGAAGTCATGCCCGAAGGTCTGGCTTGGGATAGAGAGTGGTGTCTTGTCCACCAAGGGTCAGGACAGGCACTAAGCCAGAAGAGGTATCCCAAGATGGCCCTCATCAAACCCACTCTTGACTTCGACGGTGGCGCGCTGCGTGTAGCGTACAGAGGGAGAAAATTCTCTCACCTACCCGACGAGATCTCAGTTCCTCTATCTGCGGATCCCACTTACTTCGAAACAAACGGCGGCCCTCGTGAGAGGTCCTCAAGAGTATGCGGCGACAAGATTACGACGCAAGTGTATGCCTCCGATCATGTCAACGGCTTCTTCAGTGATATTCTCGGTGTGCCATGCGCATTGGCACGATTTCCAGCGGGAGGACAGGGACCAAGTATGCGTCACTCAAAAGCCAAGGTGCAGAAACATCAGCACCCTCAAGTTTGGGTGCCAAAGGGGAGTTTCGGGGCATCTCCAGAGTTGCCTTCTCCGCCGGATTCGGACTCTGAACAATCACCAGCAAAGATTCTACTTTCCAATGAGAGCCCAATACTCCTGATCAATACATCGAGTTTGCGCGCCCTCAACGACGAAATCCAGGCAACTGGCGGGGAACCAGTTCCCTCCGAAGCATTCCGAGGCAATATCTTGGTCGGGCCAACTCAAGACCCTGACCATCTCCCATGGGCAGAGGATGGATGGACAAAACTCACGATTGGTGGTGAGGATTTCACTATGCTGGGATCCTGCCGCAGATGCCAGATGGTATGCGTCGACCAGGAGAGCGGCGAAAGACACCAGGAACCTTTCGTGACGCTGAGCAAGGTCAGAAGGTTCGACGGCAAAGTGTACTTTGGCACTCATATGAGCCATGATTCCACTAAGGCACTGCTCGGAGAAGGAACGCGCCGTCCAGTGATACGAGTCGGCGACATGGTCAGTGTAGGAGCATGATGTAAGGTACTTCAGAAAGGCTTGGCTGGCATCGGTCAAGATGAATGTCAGTATATGTTCTCAATGAAATACAGACCCCACAGCGGCTGCTCCGTTCAAATAAGCTATAGTTGCCCTCGCACCTTTGCTGTCAAGTTCACTGTTCCAAGGTGATAAGCCTCGGTGGTTGCTCCCATAAGAAAGAAAAGGACCTGTTGTAACCAATTAGATCCACCTGCTGGAATAGAATTCCACTTTCTTGATTCTATGGAAGTCAGGGCTGGTTTCTCGTACTCAAAACTCGTCAGGTATCAGGTAGTGCCAGCGAAGAAAGCCAGCAATTAATGATTGAAATGAGCATTTAGCTACTTAACCTACTAATAGTACTTAAGCTTTACGGATATGTACTGTGAAGGTAGGTACAGTGCGCGCTTTCCTTACTAAAAGTGACTTAGGTGAGGTACCTTGCCTTAACAGCGCCCGTGCACCTATCCTTTCCCGGAAAATGTCGCGTCCTGCAGCTGCAGCTTCGAGTTTATCACGTCTGTTTCCCGAGAAAGTAGGCTGTCTCGTTCCTTCGATTTTTATTCTTACCGTTAAACGTTTTTCAAACCTTTTTGGTCAATAATTGCTACTTTTCCAGCATCTTGCAGCAGCTGAGGGAAGCGCGCCAGCTTCCTAGTTTCCCCCGGTTGATTTACCACCACTGACGCGCGACAGGTCGGGTGCCCTGGCCCATGAAGGCAGTTTCCACCACCCCCTCCACACGTCCCTACAAATACCCACCTCTAGCCCTCCTCTCCCTCTTCGGCCTTCTCCCAGCTTCACATCCTTCAACACGACCTCTCGACGCCGTCAAGTCCCAGAGGCAATCAACAATCCCCCCGCACCATGGATGGTTGAGCAAATTTCCCGTGTTGTGCCTCTGAGCCAACAGCTTTCTTTTTTCTACCACCCTTTCACGATATTTGCTATCATTCGCAAGCTCGTTGATCCTGCTCCCTCCGGCCGGAAGACTTTCTATCCCGACAGGTCAGTCTGCGACGGCATGCTCCAACGATGACGACCAGACTGCTGCCTCTCGTGGCCAGTCGCAACATAAGGTGCTGCGGTAATCTTGAGTCGTTGCTCAAGGTACGCAGTCGCAGCCTTGTTCTGCTTGTTGGGCTTTGCCTAACGGCAACAGTCCCAGCTTCCAGACATGCTGTCGGCCGACAGAGCAAGTGAGCTCATATGAGCTGCCCTTTCTCTACCATCACGAATATATCACCGTACTGTGCTTTGCGCACTGATCAGGGGCCTTGGAGGCGCACGCGGTGTTAGGCTGGAGTTTAGCCTAAGACATCCGTTCGGCTTCGCTGGCCTTTTCTTCGTCACTTTGTCCTGGGCAGGACGTAAAAAGGCCTTGGGGTTGCATCATGGCAACGAATGGACGACATAGAGAGGCAAATACAGCCCATGTATTGAGGTTACGTTTATGATACTCGTTATGGAGTCACATGTGGTATGTCCCGAAAACTATAGCTCTAGCAAGACAGCTCCCCGACTAACCCACTTTAGCAACGATCTCTAGACTTGCGACGTTCCCAAGGCTGGGCAACCAAGACGTACGACACTATCTCCTTTCTTCAGCAATTAGACTTCGACATACTCTACCTAATTCTGATGACCCGTCACGATAATGACATGTTTGTCTGAGACTTTGGCATTCTTGGTTCTTTTCTTTTGCCAAACGGTATGGATAGTAAGTATTTTGTACCGTACTTGTCCTGCCTTGATCGTACCGCTAACCTGAGCTACAGGACATTGGATCGAAAAAGGACGGCGCCCTGATCATGATTTGTCCTGGGCAGGACTTTAAAAGGCCCCGATTCTCTACGTTGAGGATCGGCACGGATGGGTTTGCAGCTGCAGTTCGGGAATTATGTCTGTCTCCCTCTGCGAATAGGAAAGGTTATCCTGGCAACCCAATTACGCCATTTGGCGCACGAAAATGTCCAGATTATGCTCAGATCCACGGATCACCGGATCATGAGCGTTGGACAGGTGGGCGGCTCCGGCCCCCGCCCCCGAAGATGGCCGATGTGGCCCCGGTCTCCGGACCGGCTTCCAGGCCCGCCGAAGGCAACCTGGTTGAAACGACGATCGAGATCGACAGCAATGTCAGTATTTCTTGTCACAATCGCCCTCTGGGCATATACTGTGTTAAAATTCGCATTATGCGGAAATATCGAGATGTAGCACGTACTCGCGTACTGTGTTTGGTGCTCTTCAGCTGCGAAGCTCAAGAGTCCGACCCACCGTTGCAGCTTGTGGGCGACTGATGGAAAAGATTGAGCAACACAACCGCTGTCGGAATCCTGACAGACGGGGGTACGCAGGCTGTTATATATTTAAACAGTCTGCCTATCCAGTGCCTACAGACGGGGTCCTTTCTGAAGGAGATAAGCGCGATAGTAAGAGCGACATGCCGAGATCGTCACATCAACTCTCACGATTTCTCGCGGCAGAGGCTACTTTGCTCCGGAGCCAGCATCTCGGACTAGGCCGAGGAGGATCTACCCCACGATACACGCCACCACCCATCCGGGTGCCGATACGTGGGGACAACGTTTGTATTGGGGGCCCGAAAGGGCTCATGAGTTTGGGCTGGTCGCGTCTCTCTGATGTGGTCACATCTGTGGCCATGGAGAAAAGCTCGCGTCTCGATCAACAGTTTTGGGGTTCTACGGTGGGACCACGCGACAAGGGGAAGCAACAGGTGGGGTATTCTGGCTTCAAGCCATGGGAATGCAAGCCTGGCACTTGTTCCCGACTTTCGAGGTTGGTTAAAACTTTGACGACATTGGGGGACAGCGGGTGGAGGATTACTGTTTAGAGTGGGATGACTTTTGATTTCCTAGGATATAGTTCTGGCAGTCGTAATTCAGATCCGACATTTGTCCCCAACCACGTTCCCACTTGACTTTCCTTTTTGTGTTTTGCAACACGTTGACGGCAATGACCCACATCCAGCTTTGACGTGTCATGGTCTTCCTAGCGTCGACGGATTCTGCGGCAATGGACAAACTGAGTTAGAATTGAAAACTTTTGGTTACTGGAGTATGTGATCAATAAAATGTAGATCGACCATTTCTTCTGGAAGAAACACACCGCTGATCGAAATGTAAAACCCACCACCTTTACTCTCGGAGTAGAAACAAGTTGATCATCTACGAGCTTGTTGACGAAGGGCTGTATGCATATCATATAATACAGTCTCCAATAGATGGTTGAAACTCGCCGCCATGTTGAAGTCTTCCACAATGCACGCGTGGGAGGATAATGTGTTAGTCACAATCATCATGAAGGATATTTAGGCCCAGTCAATAGAGATTAGAATTCCATATTCTGTACGGCAAAATGTGACAGGCTAATGTGCCGTGTGACTTTACAAAACTGAGTACCTCAAAGGGCTTCTCGTCTGTCCCAAAACGCCAAACCCACTCAATCTTACAAACTCCCTTATCGCCATGCTCTTGTCACAAAGATCCTATTTCGGGGGGCTAGCAGGGCCACGAGTCCAGCTACAAAGGCGCATTAGTATGTAGTGTGTAATATAAGCATTGGGATAAACCTACTTATGCCACATCTGCCCGATGAATCCCGGCGCCGGCTTTGAATCTGTCATTGATTGTCTACGGGCTGCGTTGCCGTCGTGGCGCTTTTGGTCCATGAGACCTTGGAAGAGAGTTCCGGAGCTCTGAGGTTTACACGTGTGAGCAGCGTGGCGTGTGAAGCTGGATTCAAGGGGTTCTTACACGTCTGCGGCCGGTAGGAGAGACGGGGATATCGACGTTCTTGCTTGAGTCCATGATGACGGTTGGTGTTGATGTGTGTGTGATTTGATATCTAATCGAAAGTGGCTTGTGGTTGTAGTTGTCAAGGCGTTTGTAGCTGTGATGCAATGAGGAACCTCGAGGATATGAGGGGAAGAAGAGGAGGTATATAAGCAATCCGGCGTCACAGCTGGGTCGAAGCACCCACCACCTAGCTCGAGCTTCGACTTGCCATAGGGCATACGTTCAAGGTAGGTAGCTCGAACAAGGGCCCATGGTGATCCTGTACCACCCACACCCTGAGAATGACTTCACCAATGAGACCACCGCCCACTCCCCTGACACAAGGGATGCCACTGTTTAACTCCATCGTTTTGCATTACTAGAGGATTGCCGCAGTACATATAGACGCTACCCTGCCCTCGAATTCCGCACTGTTCAACCTCAACCCTTTTCACAAGTCACCCATCCTTTCCTCCATTCTACCCTCTCCCTCGTCAAGGGATCGCCAGAATCGCAGTTTCGATAGCTTGTTAGTAGGCTGGTACTACACACGGCCCTGTCCGTCTCGTTAGTACTAATAATACCCTTCTTAGCGTAGGACATGTTAACAATACTCTGCGGCTGCGTTACTACGCTTCGTAGATCGTGCCCAACGTTAGCAAGGATTCTGGCATTATCTCTTAGTTCGTTTCTTAGTTCCTCTATTAAGGCCGTTATCGTGGGGTTAGTTTAGTTATTAGTATTTTAGTAAGCATTTTAACTTAACTCGGAGGCTCTTATAGCTCTTAAAGAGAGGCTTTTAAGGGACTTATAATTAGACTTTTTACTTATTACGGGCGAAGCTATTACGGTTAAAGCTATAGCGCTACTTACGGACCTCGATAGTAGGTAATTAGTAATATAGTCATTTTTCTCTTATAGTAAGCTTAAAAAAGTATTTTAATTTAAGTACTGGGTGGGTACTATATTGTTTTATTAAAACTATATTCTTGTACTTATGACTCAGAAAGAATTAACTTTCTTCGATAACAAGGTACTTAGACACAAGGGATGCGGGAAAGCTTGTCGATGGGCCGGTCAGAACGATGACGGTGTTTACTCGTCTGTCACCATCACACGCTAGAAAGACTAACGCTACTTGGCTACGTGGGGAGCTACCATGCTAGTGTAAGGGGACTCGGGAACGGGGAACCCGCTCGAGGGAAAGGGGCATCGTCGAATACCAGTGTAGATACTCTGTAGAGTGCTTTGGCTTTGTTAATCGACGACGTAACGGCAGAAGGTCGAGCGCTGGCGCTCTCCTCCCTCCATCATTTTTGCTGTGGTCTGCCGTCTACTAACCAACGGGAAGTGCGTAATAGTCGATGGACAAGCAAGACATAGACCCCTAACTGCCCCTCGCTCTCGTTACCCCGCGCAGGTACATGGTCTGATCACACTGAACCTGGCATGATTGATAGCTTGCGATGCGATGCAATGGCTCCCAGCTGGAGACAAGATGCTGGATTAGTCTGACATCAAGAGCCAGTCAGATGTCGTCGATCCTGAGAAAATGGCACGGTCTATCCTCTTTGAGCATTGAGTTTCCCGCTTCCCGAAGCATCTTGGAATTAGCAAGGGAGACCCCATGGTTGGAACGGATGACAATCAAGTGCCAGGCTTCGCTACGAAACCCATAGAAACATCTGAGGGGAAGCTCGATTCTTCTCTGCGGTAGGTATTACTACGCTTGCTACGCTAGGCATGTCTGCGGCGTTCTCCATGCGAACCCTCGCGAATCATGAGCTCGACACGTGATGTTATGCCCAAACCGGTACGAGATCTACGTCCTGGTGCACATGTCATAGTAGCTCTGACGAAATGATTGCAGTGGATAGGTAAGCAGCCATACAGACAAGAGAGAAATGGGCAGAAAGGGATCATCGCCATTGGACATTCAAGCTGCGCCCAGTCTGGTGTGCTGCTTCTCTGCCACAACGATCATGTCAGTAGGTACGACATTGGGGACGTATGTACGGATCATCGTTCGTTGGCTCACGCTCCCGCCCACTCTCTCCACCGCGGAAGGCAACGATCGGCGGGGGAGGAGTAAAAGTATGGGGAAGCCCGCCGAACGGCAACTCTGCCGGCGCGCCGCCCAGCAGCAGCCATCATGCGTCTAGACCGATGCAGCCTGCCATCCTGCGTCAGGGTCCTGCTGTTCTCATCGGGGCCCTCGTTTCGGAGGCACTCAACAACACGCGCAGCCAGCCGTTCTTGTGATACCTATCACCGTGGGTTAGGCTGGACTTGTGGTGGCTAAGAAAGAATGTCCACGCTTTTTGAGCAGCTTTGTTCACCACCGACGTTGCAAACCGCATTCGGACAAGGTAGGATTCGGAAGACTCTTCCACCGTCTCATCCTAGGAGACCAGCCTGATCAGACAATCAGCAGACAGATGGATCGAGAAAGTCGTTCGAGTCAAGAACAGGAAGCCTCGATCACCGCGTCTCAATGGATGATGCCAGAGGATCCGCCGCGTCCCGCTGTTCTAGATTTCAGATAGAGCAGAGATTGACCCGATAGACGCGGCGGCGTGGGGTTCGCGTCAGGCATCGTCTGGTCATCTTTTGGCCCCGATTCTTGGGATTTCTTGGAAACGGCTGGGCCGTCAGGACCTTGCAGACTCGAGGCTTGCAGGAACCGGGAGAGCCAGAGGGCTGGAGCAGAAGCAACAGCGGCAATGCCGTACCCTTGCCCGGCGTGCCACCCTGCTCCTCTGAAAGCAAACGCCCGCCGCTGGCTGTGCGAGTGAGTGGCTTGACGTCAGGGAGCTCAAAGGTAAAAAACGAAGCTAGATGATGGTCAAAGCTGAAAGATAGCGAATTCGGTTTATCGATCGCAGAGGAGGCTTCGATGGATGATGTAGGTGTGTGGGGAAGGGGAGACGGAGAGATCGGGTACCCACTACCTGGCATTGGCTCCCTTGCAGCCCCTCAATATGCGCTTATCTCAGATAGCCCGATAGGGTGGCTGGCTATTCGATTATCGAAGAGTATGCATCCATTGCAACGACCAACGACGGTTCATCTCAACTTCTGCCCACCCATCCCTTCGTTCGCAAATCATTGCCACATGCAAACCAAACTGCGTTGATCAGCGAATTACATGGCTTTGGTACTCGATGGAAAAGACACAACTCGAAGGCAATATTGCCCAATTCAACACGCCTCTTCTTCGTGTACTGGACACAACGTCGGTTTGAGCTGATCTGCTAGGCATAATCGTACCGAATAATCAGCTGTTATCGATTCTTGCGCGGCTGGTCGGTACTATCCACTCATAAAGAGTATCACTGTGAGAGACGATAAGTTTTAAGGATCGACAGTTTTTATTGTGTTGTCCTGGGGGACATGTAGAAGAGAAGCTAGGTTGGTAAAAAATGATTAAAGACAAGAGATTAAGCAAGGCGAAAAGGAGCCGCTAGGACTCGCCAGATGCCCGCAACAAAGTTCAAAGTCCCCGGTTGATGTTGAATGATCACCGCTAAATCCCTCGCGTTCCAGTCCTTTCCTCTCAAAGTCTTCGGAAACTTTTTGCTATCATGCAGACCGCATGCTGGAAGTTGTGGGTGGAGTGATTGTGGAAAAGGTGCTTTGCGAGAAGCCCGGTCGACAAGCCGACGGGGCGTTGTCAATTATGCCGAAACTCGTCATGGGTGTGCAGTTCCGTGGCTGCAGAGTACCTGCCCGAATGAGTTACCGGCCTGCGACGATTCTCGAATTTAAGCACGACCACCACCGAGGAGGCCGCCGCCGAGGCCACCGAGAAGACCACCGAGGAGGGGTCCGAGAAGGCCGGTGATAAGGCCGAGGACGCCGGAAAGACCGCCGAGGCCGGAGGTAAGACCGCCGAGGTCGGGGAGGCCGCCAGTGGGAACGCCTAATTTGAAGTATTAGTAACTGTTCGAAGGTGAATGGCATAGACAGTACTCACCAGGAAGGGAAGGAAGACCGGTGCCAGAGACGAGAGGGGCAATCTGGGCCTGGATGGTGGCAATGATGGCCTGGATCTGCTGGAGCTGGGCCAAGCTGAGGCCGGCGGGGAGGCCGGAGCCAATGGCCGTGGCGTTGGCGACCTGGGCCTGAAGGGCACCGATCAAAGCGGTGAGCTGCTCGGCGCTGATAGCACCGGTGGGGACGGCGGGAACGGAGACACCGGGGATGGTGGGGATGGCAGGAAGGCCGGGAATCGCACCGGCACCGGGAACACCCTGGCCTTTTGGATTTGTCAGTTGAAACGGTTCGATCTACGAGCTCTTAATTCACTTACGGATGTTGCCAACAACGCTGAGGACACTGGCCAAGAGGCCGGTGAGGATGGCAACAACGTTGCTCGGGCTGATGGGGAGGTTAGAGAGACCAGGAAGACCCAGACCCGCCAGGGCGCCCAAGCCGGGAAGGGTGGCAAGGTCGATGCCACCAAGCTGGCGAGCCTCGAGCTCGACATTGCGCTTGGCGATGGCGTTGGTGTTGTCAACGTTGGCAATGGCAACGGGGTTGGCGGCGACGAAGGCCAGGAGGGTGGTGAGGACGACAGCGGACTTCATTTTGATGGTTGGGGTTTCCGAAGAAAAGGGGGATTGGTTTGAAGAAGAAGTGGTAGTGAGTGATCCGAAGACTTGAGAGTTGAGAGAGTTGAAGCGGCTGACTATCCTGTAGTGAAGGCGCGGTGTGATGATGAGAGAAGAGATATTACGATTTGGACGGCGGACGACGAGGCCTTTTATAATGAAATTAGGCTATCGACGAACTGAGGGATCATGGTGAGCTGTCTCTACATTGTCGTCGTCGGCGTTGTCGTCGATGAGCAGTCAGTCTGCCTTCCGTCTTCGTCGGCTTTGCCCTCGACTGGCCCACATCAGTGCCAAGGTCGCAAGGAATCCTCAACGTGTGGTTCACGTTGATCCCCTGCTGAGCGTGACAGTTTCGTGAAGTTCCCGGCTACATTTCCCGCAGAGGCCCATCACAGAGGTTTCGCTTCGGAACCTGACACCGAGCCAACCATGAAGAGGGACCCTTGGGCGGGCACGAAAGGCCAGGCTCCTTGGCTCCTAGGGCCAAGGCGGTCTAGGGAGGGCGGGAAGTCTGAGGCCAAGCGCCTTTGACAGCTTCCTCCCGTCAAAGTCGACCAATCGCTGACCGTCGCTCCAGCCTGCGCGCTACTAGATCCGTCCTGTCATGTCTCTGATGGATAACTCAAACGTGAGACATATCCACCGGTGGGAGGATCGTGGCATCTTTCCTCCTTGCTTCCTCATTGGTGCCTTTCATCTGCGAACAGCTTGCGGGAATGAGTCCCACGGGGGCTCACAATTTCCGCCCAGGCCCGATCTCCGTCACGGAAAGGCGCGAATCCCCATATCCACCCATATCCTCCGATGAGACACGAAAAGAATATCTCGGCCGAAGGCCTAGTGACGTTTGCGGGGGGGAGTTGTCGTGATCAGAGTCAGCTCATTCTTCGCCCGCCGTTGCTCCCGCCGCCGATCACCGGTAGGAACACATACCACACTACCTCTCGGATGATATGATGTTACGGCGTGGCTCTTCAATATCCGGCAGCGTCGAAGGAAAGTTGCCCCCTCCCGAAACGATCCACAGGAGATGATCAATGGAGCCCGCTTGCCAGGATATCCTCTCGAGAAGATGGCTTTCGAGCCTCTTGCTGCAATTGTCTCTCCGCCTGTCCTTTGCTGCAACTTCTGCTTTCGTCGGCGGGACACATAGGTGGATGCAATCGTGATGATTGTCGGAGAAATTCTTACGTAGGAGGTTGTGAGGTGAGAAAAACAATAAGTCTATTTTGTCTCAGCCTCCCAAAGCCTCTTAGCCTCAACTTGCCTCCTTTCCCGCTCTCCCTAACGGGAGCTTGCATTCCCGCCCAACCCCGTTTTAGCCGCCTAGACATAAGCGCCTAGAGCCGAAGTAAACTTGAGAACTGACAGCTTGTCTAGGGCAAGATTTTGAAAAGGTCTCACCAACAAGTCTGTCGAATCACGCTCCAGGCTTCCGCCATCTGACATGCTCAAGAATTCATCCTTGGCAAGAGGCGGTCGCGGGCCGACACGACACATTTCTCACTCTGACCAAGTCAAGTTGTGAATGGTAACTCCTTCCGCCTCTCACGCCATAGCTCGCCATCTTAGATGCGAGACATTGAGAACCGTCTTGGGCCGCAATAGGTAGTCGTGGGGCTGTGTCGGTTGGCTTGACTTGCCTGAGGTATTTCTCGAGCATATGTCGAATTCGCTCTTCGGAGGAGGGCTCCGCCTTTGTTGGCACCAAGCCATAACCAGCCCGGATAATAAAATGAGGGACATGAAGTACGGGTCGGGCATCTAGGAGGCTGAATCAACCTTCCGTATCGGTCTATTGCAAGCCACATCAGAATCCTGCCAAGATTTTGAGACGAATGGCTGTTCCCTCACTTGCCTTTCACTCCAAATTCAACATTCAGCACCTCTTTGCGTGAAGAAGGGGTATTCTGAGAGGAATGAAGGCTGAACTTGCACGTCATCTTAGGACGTCACTGACAAAGGGAGTCTCCCACATTCTGAGGACATTCAAAAAGAAGAGACATCTTGCTCATACGTAGGTGGAGGTGGTAATCTCAACCCAACTTACCGCCAGGAAACATGTCTGGCTTGACAGCTGTAACGTCACCCCGGTTGCTGTCACACGGCTGTCAACTTAGAGACGACTAAAAGGAGGCCACCAAGCGGATGTTGCATATCCATATTCATCTATTCCTGCCGCAATAACCGACAAATAATGTCTTTCGCCCTCCTTCACAGTAACCATTATCCAAATTAAGCAAAGGCTACTACTCTAGACAGATGGCACTTTGGCGGCCGCCCGCTCGTGAAGCACGCAGTATGATAGTGAATATAGCAAGCAAAGACTCAGCTTCTTCCCTCCAAGGTAGCAAGTGTCTCCTGCCGAGCCTCCCATACCGATATTTTCTCCTCTTCATGCAGCAAGCTGCCGGGTCTCCTTTCAGACCGCCGATCCTCGTTGCCGGCATCCGGGCTGGAAGGGCCCAGAGACATTCCGACGACCTGGCCTGGGGAGCCTTTGACGGGGTTCGTGGGAGAGCGATTGCGAGCGGGGACTGCAGCGAATACAAGCTTCTTCCGACTGCCATCTCCGGGAATCCTTCGCCTGCGGACCATCCCTCCCCCTTCGTGGCGCCGCTGCTCCTGGTCACGCCGGTCTTGGCTGCGTCCCGCATTGCCCAGTCGCGAACCCGCCTTCTCCTTCTCCTCCTCCACCTCCTCGCCAATTTCAATCCTCCGACGCTGCCCGAGCTTGGGATGTTTCTCCCGTAATTCCTCGTGTTGCCTCCGCACGTGGGTCCGTTTCTTGTCGCTGTCGCACAGCCTGCGATGAGCGCGGCCATGTGCCTCGTGGTCGTTGTGCGCTACGCGGTGCTGGTCCGTCTCCTCTCGTGCGAAAGGCGGCCCAGCCCCTTCTGAATCTGATGCTCCCGGACGACAAGAGACTCGAGAAATATTCCCTCGGTGTCCGGGATGCGGTCCCACAACTACCGAGACGTCTGGTCGAGGATGGCGTTGGACCAAGTGAAGCCTAGTGAGCACTTGCTCGTCATTCCGGGACGAGGACATCTCATTCCTTGTTGTGATTGTTGAGCAAGAGCGGGGGCTCAATGTGTCGAGCGTACGATTGGTTCGTGAACGACTGGAGAGATCATCTCGATCTCGAGGGGGAGGATGCCGAGCCTTACGTGACTCCCTAGTGTCTCTTGCCGCAGTCACAAACATCTCATCCCTGGCGTCTTCTCTACAAACCTTCGGCTGCTTCTGAGAACCCTTCGCGGTAGTGGGAAACATTGCGAATCTGGCATCATCTACGAGACGCATCAGAGCTTCCATCTCCTCAGCCAAAGGTCTCACCTCGTTGGAATCAGATCTCCTCAGGGAACAAGTCTCGCGATTCAACCTGCACCCAGTCATTGATCTCCTATAGATGGCACGTCGAACAATATCTCGGCGTGCGTCACAGCCCGTCTCGGTGTGACCAGTGTGATGAGATGATTCAGGCGTTCCGCTTTCTCGTACGATCTTGGGCAGCCGGCGAAGGTTCGAAGGGGTCTTTGGCAGGAACCACAGGGCCCATGACCTCTTCTCGGCGTATAGCCAAAGAAGATGTGTGACGACGCGGTGATCCCTTCTCGCAGGGACTGAAGTATTTGCAGGGTGCCATCGATCTTCTGATAGATGACGATCCTCGTTCTCTCGTCGATCCACACGTCCGTATATCTCCCTGCCTTCTGCCACCATACAGGCGCATGAACGAGACTGCTTCGCCGCGCGGTATCTGTTGACTTGTTCTCCCATACTCTTTTCCATTCATCACCCCATATAGTCAGCTGTTCATGAAGATCCTCGACAGCCCATTTTGCGCCGTTGGGCAACTTATTGGAGATCGCGAAGCGTCGAGGACCTGACGTGGACGCTCTTGGAAGCTGAATTTCCCCTCTCATTCTGTCGTAAGTCACCAGGTCTAGAATCCGGGAATCATGTGCATCGAGTAGCGAATGAGCTTCCATTGTGTGTTGTTGCCCGGGTTGATTACAGGCAAAGTTGTGATAGTGGCTGGATATTTGGCTGGATAATCCGTCATAGACGGGATCTGAATGGCTCTGCTCCATCTATGCTGCTGTTGGAGTTTGCATTGGCCGTGGTGTACCAGCTTCTTGAGAACTATTGCAGTTGCCACTCGATGAGACATGCTGGCATACGAAATGAGGATATATGCAGCTAGGTTCGATCAAGCGGCTGTGAAGAAATTGGGTGTCCTGAGCTAGAAATACATTTGAATCTGCCTGAGAGGCTGGTATCAAGATGGACTATCATAGGGTGAGAAGACAGGGGAAAGGGTGACCAGGGATTTCCGTAGGATTTTCGAGAAAGGGCTTAACAGTCTGGAACTTTCTTGGTGTAATCAAAAAAGACAACTGTGTGCCTAACCATGTGAACTATGAAACTATAGAAAGAACGTCGAAAGGACGCGACTGAGAGAACGAAGCTACTGCATTAGGCCTTCTGTTTTCTTGATGATTGGTCTTCTTCACAACTAGGAAATGGTCTCTTGATCAATGGAAGCGAACATTTAAGGCAGGCTATGTTCAGAACAAAGAACTTTTGTTACACCTAGTCTTGACTACTTAAAGAGGTTCGGTTACATAATCTTAAGAAGTCATTATGTTCAATACCTGACAAGCATGTAAGCATGTAATGTAGTAGTAATGGCGCTTCTTCGTTTCCAAAGTCAGCTGCACGTATTGTGATAAAGGTGGTAAGCTGAATATTTGCCTCGAGCTTGAGACGGGAAGCAAGACTCCGAAATACCATAATTGTTTGTCGAGGTCGAGTTGAGTCGCTCGATACCTTGGTAGTAGGCAAAGTTGATATGCAAATGACTCACTTGATCAAGTTATGAAAGAAAGTCACAGTCGTATGTAAGACTGCCTATCATAGTCTTCACTTATTACAGCAAGTTCGAATTGTGAATAGATACAGGTGTTCAAAGTCTCTTGTGTGTATTGTGTCAAAAGGCTTGGATTCTCTTGTTCGAGGCCACGGAAACAAAGAGATTATGCCAAACAACGGCTGTGTGCATTGTCATGAATGAAGAGAGTTGCAACAAATCTCATGCTTACCCTTTGTCGATGATCTTTGATCGCGAGTAAAGACTATATTGTGACAGAGCTATATAGAAGTATCCTGAACGAGAGAGAAGTCAGAGCCGGAGAAGACAAACCAAAGCAACCAAAATCACTTATATCACATCAATTGACATAACCGAAGACTTTCCCGGAGTAGGTGGACATACTTGAGTCTCCAAAGCCAGCATCACGTTCGCCATTGAAGGCAACTTCATCCAATAGGAGTAGCAGCAATGTGCTTCGCCAAAACGATTTACACATGCCAGCACCAAGAACGAAAACGCGTAACCTGCCGCAAGACATGGCGCCATCGAGCGGGCTGGTGCTTCCGCCCAGTCCTCTCCTTCTTCTTCGGCGACGCCCCCGAAGAGCCCTGCAGCGAGCTCCGCGCCAACGACACCGTCTGGCCCAACGTCACCTGCCCAGAGTGCCGCACTGCCGAGGAGACCGGGATCGCCACCAAGGGCATGGTCACTAGTACGACCACGACGAACAAGTACCGCGAGAAGCTCACGCCAGCGGCGCTGGCGGCCTCGCGGCGGCGTAAGGAGGAACAGGATAAGAAGGAGGAAAAGATGCGGACAAACTACTGGTCGATCCAGGAGGACTACCAAGAGGGGTTGAGGAAGCGGGAGATGGAAGAAGCTGCTCGACTTCAGGGCGGTGATGCTTCTCTTGTTGAGGGGAGCGAGAATTATGCTGATAGGCCTCTCCCCGCTCTTCCTACCTTTCCTGCTGCTTCGGTTGGTGACACTCGCGGGGATCCGGGATACCAGGACCCACGACTCCGTTCCAAGAATATGTTCCCTCCGCCACCGCCTCCGCCTCCTCCATCGACGCCCGGGAATAAGAAGACTACTAAGAAGAAGCGCAGGAGAATGGAACCGAGACGTCTGCCCACTGTAATCAGTACTGGTAGCCCGATCAGCAAATCATCTCGACGCTCACAAGAGCAAAAGCGACGATGCTCAGAAGACAAATGGAGACAACACCCACAAGAGAAAAAGAGACGGCGGGTGGAAGAGCAAACAAGACAGAACTCAGGCGAGCTAACGAGCCAAAGTTCAGAAGAGGGCCCATATGAACGGCCGACAAAGGAGAACCGCTACGGCAGAGACACGACCTCGGGTAGACAGGCCGCCGACGAGGCTATCCGGATCATGAAGGAAGCCGATGGGCCATCGCCGGCAAGGCAGTCTATCGCCGTGAGAAGAGGCAGGGAGATGAAGCAACTGGCCAACAGCTATCGAGAGGAGCGGGCCGCTCCGTGGCCCGAGGAGCCGAGTATTCAACGACGTCCCACGCCCCCGCCCTCGCCGGAGCCGGAGAAGGCGGCAAAGAAGAGTGGCAAGCGCAAGGGCGGTTGGAACCCGTTTGGTAACAAGGATCGCCGAGACGATGTGACCCATTAGGGGAGAGGCACCCGCCGCGAGGTTGTTTCTGACGCTCGTTCCGACGTTCAGTCCTTTGTGTGTTGTGACGCCCGCAAGATAGAGAGAGGGAGAGATCACCATTCTTAGGTATACCTTATGATGCAAAGAGACGAGGCAGAGGGGGAAGGATGAAGGAGATTTGGTGAGTGAATGCTTCATGTTTGTTGAACTATGTATGTGTTTTGAGGGGTTTCCTTGTTTAATTGACATGGACAAATAGAGGCTTCTTTCCCTTCCCAAAAATAAGAAGAACACGATAACCGAAAGCAAGCAACGCGCAAAAGGGGTCCGAATAGGAAACTCCTTTCCGACCATAAAGTATTGTAACTCGGCCGGCAACAGATCCAACGATTGACAATCTGTATACGCGTAAGCTCAAATTGGTATATGATGAAAGTACTCCGCCTATGAAGTGATGGCTCCTGCCCGAATGCTCCCACGCCCTGGGGCCTTAATCCTTCAATGTCTCTTCTGTTCGCCCGTGGCCTCCCTGTGATGGCTTCTCAGCCTTCTTAAATTTGCTCATCTCTGTCAGTGTTAGTTAGGTAGGCGGAGTAGTAAGCACTTGGCCATCGCTTGTAGTCTTTCCGATAGGTGTGTGAGTTTGGTTGAATTTACATCGCAAGACCGGGTAAGTATTTTGTCATCGGCTGGTCTGCAAAGACTTCATTGGGCCTTTCCGTTCTTGGCGTCGCCGTTCGCCTTGGAGGCTCTGAACTTGGCAATCTCCTTCTCGACGGCCTTGTCAACGCGGCCCTTGAGCTCCTGACGGTACCCGAGCTTGAACAGGAACTCAAGCCAAACAAAGAGAGGGGCCAGGAAGACAGCCTGAACCAGGTTGTCCAACAGCGCCGGCGCGCGCCCCTCGAAGGCGCCGTGCCCGATAAACTGGAAGATCCAGCAGGCGATGTGGATGCCGATGGCGGCCTGGTTGGTCAAGGTAGGGTTCTCAACCCTGAAGTGGTTGCCAGCGGCAGTGGCGGCCAAGCAAATGACGGCCAGGAGCGTGCCGGCAACAGGTTCGAGAAGAACATACAGACCACCCCAAGTCAGGGCTGCCAGTGTCCCCAAGTTAAGATCTAGATTAGGGACGGTGAGCCAGCTAGGGAGTGGAATGAGAGTTCCTGTGTTGGTGGCCTGGGGAAGTCTGTATGAGCTCAGATGAAAAGACTCGAGTTACATCTCATTGACTGCTTACAAGGCAAAATCCGGAAAACAAGATGATGGGCACACATGCCATGTGGATGCCGATGTTGACGGTATTATGGTGGTATGCACCATACTGTGAGCTCATTAGCAACCATGCTAACGACGTACTCTGGAAAGTCGGACAGTTCACGAACAAAGGTCAGGTGTTTTTCCAAGTCTAAAGACATGATGGCGGTGAATGAAATGAGATGGTGCTGAGACCTAAGCCAAGGGCGATGTGGTGGACTGAGAGCCGAGGTTTGTTGCAGGATAGATGCACCAAGACGAGGCTGGCTGCAGGGTCGAGGCTCAGCCGCGGGCGGATCGGCAACAGCTGGAGCGTGAGCGGGCCGGACGGATTGGTTGTGGTGCACTTTGGAACGGCCGTATCGATACCAGAAATTAGATTAGTCGCGGATGCACTATGGGCGACTGGGGAGAGAGTTGGTGATGTTGGCGTCGTTGCGAATGATGGAACTTGAGGGAATGCCGTCGTGTTCCGGACAGGGTTGCAATGGTGTTCATATGTGTCCCACCCAAGCACGTCGAGTTACCTTGCCTTCCGCCGAACCTTTGCGGTGCAAGTACCCGTGGGGCCGCTGGGAGCGCGTTTTTGCTCTTCGGTTCGGGGAGTTCGTAGGGATTCCACTAGATTTCCAGCAGTCCTGGAAGCGACAAGGTCCACAATGGCGGCTTCTGACTGGAGATTTTGGGGGGAATGAGTCCACTAAAAATCTCTAAACGTGCATGCACCAAACATACGACTGATTTCCTCCGCCCAATCTAACGTCGTGCATTTGTCGTGTGAGCGCGTCGGAGGCTGGGGAGGCTCTTAACCGACTCTTCTGATTGAGCTTGAAGGACATCCGGATGTCAAAACATGAAGCTGGCCAATTTTACAGTCCTCGTTGGATAAACAGACTGACTCCATGCGTGATCTGTGCCGCAAGCCCAAATTATGACGCCAGCTCCAACTCATTAGGGCTGGGCTCTCACATCCGCGGCCCAAATGGCGCCACTTGTCGCATCCTGCTGGCATCTGACAGTGCACTCTCCAGCATCGCAATCCACGAATGGGATTTGTCGCTCATTTAATCACTATTCAAGTCGCGCCTAAAATACCTGCCTTCCAAGGTTCCCGTCCTGAACATCGCGCTTACCCCGGCTTCGGAGCGACGACCTTTCCGCCACGGGCCTTCCGCGCTAGCGCAGTGTTTTAGCGCAAGCGCGGTAGAACGAAGTGAAAGGTGTGGCTTGAGCTCCTGCCAATCCCACTTTTCCTGCCTGGGGCATGTGTAGGTGTGGCTGCCCGCAGGCCAAAAAATTCAGGAGCCACTTCTTGCCGTAACAAGGCCATCTCAGCCTCGTCAGGTTCATCTCAGGACAACCTCTCCGTTCACTACCCGTCGAGTCACAACGCTGGCGGCGCATCTCCTTCAGCGCACCACAGAGGAGATATTCGTCAACATCCCGATTCCTCGCGCTTCTCCTTTATTCCGTCCTCGTGTATTTTCTTTCTCGGAGGCGTGTCGCGCGTTGCAACCCTCTAGCTTCAGCTTGTTCGCGACTTCTGACCCTACTCACCGGTCTGCATTTGGAAGCCGCGCATCGATTGTTTCACCCCACGCTTCCAGTCGTGTCACTCGATCGCGGATCGATTGAGACCACATCAACACGGGCACTAGAATTATTCGCATATAATACGAAGAGCTTGGGTTAATAACGCGCCGACGCGTTGTTGGAGGCAGGATACGGCCAACATCGCTGACGACGACACGACGACGATCCGCTTCTCGCCTCCGAGCATTCTGCGCCTTGAAAGCCGTCACGATGTTCTTCCTCTACAACATGGAGCGCAGGGTCACCCTGCACCCCTCCTACTTCGGCCGGAACATGCACGAGCTGGTGACGAGCAAGTTGCTGAAGGACGTGGAAGGCACCTGCGCAGGAAGTTACTACATCATTTCCATCATGGATACCTTCGATATTTCCGAGGGTCGCATTCTCCCAGGCAGTGGCCTGGCCGAGTTCACGGTGGGATACCGAGCCGTGGTTTGGCGACCCTTCAAGGGCGAGACGGTAATTGCTATAAATCTGCCTGGCTTTGTCGGGGAAGCGGCTTCTGACATGAACCCAGGTTGATGCTGTGGTCTACTCAGTCAATCACCAGGGCTTTTTCGCCCAGGCGGGGCCTCTGCGGTTATTCGTGTCGGCACATGTAGGTTCTCGCTTCCGCGCTGGCCAGGCAGTACCTTTTCGTCGATAGCTAACCGCTGCTATTTCTTTATCAGCTGATCCCTTCCGAGATCAAGTGGGATCCCAACGCGACACCGCCTCAGTTCACCAACAATGAAGATACCATCATTGAACCAGGAACCCACGTGCGTGTCAAGGTAATTGGTACGCGCACAGAAGTCGGTGAGATGTGGGCGATTGGCAGCATTAAGGAGGACTATCTCGGGTATGTCAATAACTGCGAAGCCTTGATTGGGTCTAACTCACATATCCTCGCAAAAGCTGCCTCCAGGACTAAACGTCACCCACGATGGGGAAGAGTAAGGAGACGGGCCACGAACGACCACGCCCAACGCGACCTATACAGGCTTTGGTCGGCGAGAGGTGGGTATTCGACACTCTACGCGAGTGGATCCTTGGCCGTTTATGGCAACAAGTGTTGCTACCGCGCAGAGCAACCCTTTTGGACAAGGCCCGGACGAAAATATCGAGAGAGTCGTCTTTGGGCCACAAACGAGACATCGCTACGCTGACCAATCTGCATCCGGGAAGTCAAACATAGAGAAAAGTTTGGAGAGAGAGAAAAGAGGGCATACGCATGCCTACATCGTACAGGGCTGGCGCATTTTTTGCGATCCGCAGCGTCAGATCTGGGTTCCTGAAAGTTGTACAATAAGCTGTTGCTTTCCCACATTCAACGAAATAAAAAGAGCAAAGCTACGAGCAAACACAATGTCGCTCGGGTAGGCTTCTGGAGCGGCCATCCTTTGACGGCGAAGAGTTGAAGTCCCGAAAGTCTATATTGTGACCAGATTTGTGTTCTTTGTGAAGTTTCGAAGGTCTCAAGCTTGGACTAATTGCACGCACTTATCTAGGTAGGTACCTACCTTTCTGTGTATACCTTTGGTGACATCAGGTAGCAAGCACCTGACGAGAGCTTGCTGTGGTGAGGTCGCGGGAGCCGGGAATTCGGCTAGCCCCGCCCAAACATACCTCTTCCCCCACGTTTCCTCCCTGGGTAAGGTAGCTCTGATAGACTAATAACCCCCAATAACATCCGACAATTACCCCGCCGCATGAATATCTCCGTCCCGTGGGTCTTTTCTACCCATGGTACGGATACTGTGGTGGGAATGGACCGAGTTCCTGTCCTAGAAACCCGCTTTACCTCCCCCGGCCCGCCTCTATCTGTTATCCGCGTGCATGCGTAGAATGGGGCGCCATGGCCGGCTTTCCCTCCGAAGAAATCAGTAAAGCACCCCCGCACTCGACAGACAGACAGACGCCTACGCGTATCTGACATAAGGCGCGGGTGACACATTGGGTTGGAGGGGTTGGTTCACATCATGAGCCGATTCCGGTGCTTGATCATGTAGTAAACCTATCAGAAAGGAAAGAAACAAAAGATTTGTATCTTACGTCGCCCAGGAACTGTTGCCACTTGCAAATCATATAAACACCATCATTATAATTCGTCAATTTACCACTTCACATTCGTGTATACAAACTACAATGTCGGCGATGCAAGCGGCCAACAAGCTCCGGACGGCCTTCACCAAGGGTGCCGGCCCCAGTTTCGGGTTGTGGCAGATGATTCCCGGCGCCAACGTCTCCCGGGTGCTTGCCCGGAGTCCCGGCGTGGATTGGGTCTTGGTCGATTGCGAGCATGGGAACATTGACGGTGAGCTTGATTGAGTTATCAGAGCAGTGTTGATGCTGAACGCTGAAGGAGAGGATTAAGATGAGAAGCTGACTTGTTGGTGTCCTACTTCCCAGATGGCGCCATGCACGATGCCGTCCCTGCCATTGCGGCGGCTGGTGTATCTCCCATTGTGAGGTTGCCGGACATGCAGAGCTGGATGGTGAAGCGTAAGGGCATTACCCCTTCCTCATGACTGGGGCAAATCAGACTAACCACATATTCAGGTGCTTTGGATTGCGGTGCTCACGGGGTAAGCAGACAAGCCTCATGTGAATAGAGAGAATGTTTCATTTACATGCGGTGTTCGCAAACAGAAGAAGCTTGGCTGACGCTTGGAAAAAGATCCTCGTTCCGCTGCTCCGAACCGCCCAGGAGGCAAAGGACCTGGTGCAGTCGGCCAAGTTCCCGCCGTGGGGACGACGTGGGTTCGGGTCGCCTCTCGCCATGGAACGCTTCAGCCCGGCGCCCAGCATGACGGAGTACCTGCAGCAGGCCAACGACAGCCTGCTGACGATTGTGCAGATTGAGACCAGGGAGGCTCTCGAGTCCATTGACGAGATCGCGGCGGTGGAGGGTATTGACGCGCTCTTCATTGGCCCCTTTGATCTTGGTCAGTTTATGCCATCTCTTGAGCCATGCACTTTGGGCCGCTTGTTCACTTCAAGTTGGACGATCTTGGCTGACCGGCATCACAGGAAACAACATTGGCCACCCAGTGATTAACGGCGTCATCGAAAAGGAGCTGAGCGATGCTATTGAGCGCATCCTCGAGGCGACGCACAAGGCGGGTAAGAAGGCCGGCATCTTCTGCACGAGCGGCGAACAGTCCAAGTTCTTCGCGGATAAGGGGTTCGACATGATTAGCGTGGCGACGGATTACACGGCATTGCAGTACACAGTCTCGGAGTCATTGAGCATAGCCAGGGGAGGGGCGAAGCCGGCCAAGGGTGGATCGTACTGAGCGATATCGTAGGAGATGCCTAGAGATTCTCGAGAGTAGAAGGGTATCGAATATGGTAGAGGAGTAGGCTGTGCTGCTTGGTTGGTCGAACTCTTGGCTCGCCTGCTGGCCACCTCCTATGAGCCAAGCAACGCTGCGGCCGCTCTGGATGAGTAAGAAAGACGATCTTCACAGAGTTTACTTTTCTCCCTCTACTTGATCCATCTTGGCTTCGATCTGATCTGGGTCGAATCGATGCATGAGCTTGACAGCTTTGCCCACGAGTTTGACATCCTCCTCAGGGGCCTCGGCTTTGCTAATGTGGATCTGGGGTAAAGGGGCGCACGTCAACGGATTAGAAAGGTTTAAAGGCTCACTTTTGCAGGAAACTTTTGCGAAGGTGGATGTGCATCATCGGATGGCCTCCTTTTCATCCCACGCGGCAAGGAAAGAATGGTGAACTTACCACGGGCACGTCGAAATCGTAAAGGTCCCTCCACTTCTTGTTCTCTGGCTTCGTGATGACGACCTCCGTGTAAGCAAAAGGCCGGCGATCCCAAACGTTGGAGAGTGCCGATTTGGCCCGCACGCATAAGCCGCACTCATCGCGGGAGAAGAGGGTGATCCGACATGGTTGGACCTTTTGAAATAAACGTCGTGTTGGTGCAAACATTTTTATGATTGCTGCAGATCAAATTGCAAGTCTGCTGTGGACGTCTCGCGATTAACTCGAAATCTGACGTTTATCCCACCGTAGTGTGTGAGCACAACCTACTCTTGAACCGAGAAAAAGAAGGAGGCTCGAAGGCTGTGAAACAGCCTCGTTCTCGGTCAGCTGGGAAAGGAAGACGAGGGGAGGAGAGAAAGGATAGGAATGTCAAATATGACGACTGGTATCAGGGATCAGGGTAGGTTGGTGTTGGAGTTGAGTTGGAGGGGCGTACAATGTCTGTGGTTGTATTTGAGATATGTCTGTGAGATTCAAAGTGAGATGATGTGACCTGCCAATGTCTGCCAGTTGCGAAGGTGTGGAGAGAAACGCCCGTTGGTTATCGTTTCGAAATAGTCCGATTGATTGAATGGTTGGATCCGCCACGAGGAAAGCAAAATTGCTGCTCGTCCCAGTCCGTCTCGTGATGATGATGAAATGGGCAAAAAAAGGCAAAAGTGTGGGCTGAAGATGCCTGGTCTTTTTTGGGTCGTAAGTTTGAAGTTTCCGACTGAACTTCCACCCCGGCCGAGTTGCAACTCTGAACCTGCAAGGACAAGGCCGGATGTAACCTGTCATTGTCTTCGGTCAATTCTTGCCGAATGTGGTCACATTACGGACGTCTTCTTCAGGAAGGCGGTCAGGACTTTGAAGCAGTCGCACCCCACCCTTCGTTATCCATCTCCGGCGAATCAGCAGGAAGATTTGGCGGAGCTTGTGCCCAACATGCATAATTTTGAGCCGCTAAATCGCAGTGACGACGACCCCTGGGAAATTCTGGAATCCTGGAGAACATAGCAACCCCTCCATCGAGGACAACCACCCCTCACTCATCACTTCCACTTACGGGGGCCCTTTTCGACAATTTACATCCTGCCAGACCCGCCGCCTCTTTCATCCACACCAATTCTCAAACGTCGCCCGTCGTCAATCTTGAATCTTGTTCATCCTTAACAATTTTTTCCCCCTTCCTTCCACTCCAATTCCTTGGAGCATCACTGTGTGTCCAGCAAACTTCGATTGCATCTCACCTCAGCACGCGAAAACGGTAGCGAAAGCCAAGCAGCATAAGCTCATCCTGCCAGCCCATCATGGCAGAAAAGTGCGTCCACCAGGGCTGCGGCAAGCTCTACTCTGATGCTGAGGAGCCATGTGTCTACCACCCCGGTCCTCCCGTCTTCCATGAAGGCCAGAAAGGTACTCACTCCTAGCCCCCCAATCACCATACAAACTCTACACAAGTGCTACGCCATGCTCCATGGAGAACGCGTCCTTCCCGTTCTTGTCCCGTGCGGATGTCATGGGATTCCCCTTCGTCCAATTGCACCTCTCCCATCCCCTTGCCACGAGCCCCGTTCAACCGCAATCAATCGCATTGGAAACATTTCACACGAGACACCGCGGCTAACCTCATTCACCACTACCAAACAGGCTGGAAGTGCTGCAAACCCCGTGTCCTCACCTTTGAGGAGTTTATGGCCATCCCCCCCTGCACAACCGGCAAGCACTCCACAACCGACCTCCCCCCAAAGATCGAGCAGAAGCCCCAAGCGGACCCCGCGGACGCGCCTTCTCTCCTCGATAAGCTCGCATCGGCAGCGGAACCGGCACGCAAGCCCCTCTCCCAAGCCACAGCCGCTCCCTCCCCTCCGCCTCCACCCCCGGAGTCCGAGTCCGACGACGCTTCCCTCGAGATTCCCGACGGGACCACCTGCCGTCGTAAAGCCTGTTCGGCCACCTACCGCAAGGCCTCATCGCGCGATGGCGAATCCTGCGTCCACCACCCCGGTGTCCCCATCTTCCACGAGGGCTCCAAGGGCTACAGCTGCTGCAAGCGCCGTGTTCTCGAGTTTGACCAGTTTATGAAGATCGAAGGTTGCAAGACCAAGGGCCGTCACCTGTTCATCGGAAGCGGCAAGAAGAAGAACGCTGCGGCAGCTGGCGGCGAGGAGAAGCTCGACACAGTCCGCACCGACTTCTACCAGACCCCTTCTACTGTCATCGCCTCCTTCTTCCTCAAGAAGATCGTCAAGGATTCGGCCAAGATCGAGTTCAAGTCGCAGTCCATCGCACTTGACCTGCCCACCTCAGACTCGCCGCCCAAGCGCTACACCACCGAGGTACCTCTGTTTGCGCCAATCGATACGGAAAAGTCCACCTTCAAGGTGCTTGGCACAAAACTTGAGGTGAACCTTGCCAAGGCCGGCGGTGAGTCGTGGCCTGTCCTGCGCAGTGATGACCGTCTCACTGGTGAGATATTACAAATCGGCAAGGCGGGGCGCTTGCAATAGTCCAAGACACCACCACAGGTACGGACTTACACTCTCGCGCACTCGCGTTCCCCGGGAGAGCATTGATGCGGGCTATCGGAGTTAGATGGTCACAAACCCCAGGAGAAACGTCAGCCAAAAGAGATGTTGAGATGACGCGAGAGAGAAGCGAATGAGGAAACACGTGTGTGAGACACGGGCGACCTCTAGACGCACAGAAGGGGAAAGAAAAAAAGAGAAAGAAAGATGCACCAGATACCTCTAGATGGGTATGTGAGACATTCATGTCCCACCCAAGGATGCGGTAGCTACTGTAATCCAAGAAAAAACCGTAAAACAAGAAGAAAAAGTTCAAGACATGCTCCTTGGCCCTGACCCCCTACTACTCGTAACTTCGAGGTTCCTTTGGCTCTTCTGTTTTTGATGACGCCTCTGACTCTGCTGGAATGCGTGCTATCTATCTGCCATCTGCCTAGCCAGCCCCATTACCGTGCGGCGTGCTCAAAGGTCATGCTCTGAGAGGCCCGGAGGAGGACAAGGCCTTAGGCCTCGGAGGGGGGATCGACTCGAGCCGTGATCTGGTATGTGCCACGGCATGTGACCAAGGGTCTTGGCAGACAAAACGTGATACGCGGCCCCCTCCTCCGTTGACTCGGTGAAGATCCGTGTGAAGTGGTAAAATGAGTAGCGAGCTTCTTCTCTCTTCCAAAAGATCAGCCTCGCAAGAGAGCGGCCTCCAACTCCAACCAAACCACCCCCCTGAGAGCACGAGCACAAGCACGAGCACGGATTGTTCTGTCCGTCCGTTCAACCCCAAGACAGAATACAGAGAAAAAAAAATCAGAAACGTTCTCGCCGTGTGTCACCTTGGGCCTTTTTTCCTGCTTGATTATTACCATGGTAGACTCGCGCTTCAGGATTTGTTCTAAGAATACTCGGCCTAGAAACCCGTGCGCTTTCCTCTGTGCTCTTGCGACATGGCCGCCTGCGGCGTCAAGTTCGCCACTGAACCAAAAGATTGTCACCTTTTTTTTATTTTGTTGAGATGACGGAAGGTGATGATCCGTGGACATATCTCGATGTTCTGTAAGCAGGCCGTGAACATGTCTTGGCATTCGAACCGCTGTCCATTGCGTCTTTTGGCGGTCAGATTTCCTTTCCTTCTTCCTTCCTTCTTCTTCTTCGATAAAAAAAAAAAAAAGGGTCCCACGTTGTCTAGCTATTGTTGCACTGCCGCCTTCGTTGTACTTGCCTAGAGGCTAGAGGCTAGAAGACTAGAATGTGCCGCGAAATGCTGTTCTTGCCAAGCAGTCGGAAACGCTGCTAACGACTCTGGTTGCGCGCGCGCATGGGGGGTTGGTTCACCAACAATCACCAGAGACATCACTTTACTTAGTCTGGAAGATAAAGTTGGCGATCATCATGACGGGTCCTTCAAGTGCCGGTGGACGGTGTGCACCTTACTACTTAGTGGCTGGTGCCAAAGCTTGCCTTGTCACGCTTGTAGTGTACGGATAGTTGTCCGTGTGTGGGATTTGACAATTTGTGTAATGCTCAATTGGCTTATCTGATTTCCGCAATCTACCTAGTACTCTAGCCAAGGCCAAGCTAGCTAGCTTCAACCGCCCCTTACGGAGAGTTTTCTCAACAGCTTTTTTCTTGTGAAAGCAAACCCGAAAGCCAAGATAATAGGGGACGTGAGTACCCCCCTCCGGCAAACCACAAGTGTGTGTGTGTGTGTGTGTGTGTGCATGTGAGAGAACAACACACACCAAGGCAGTTCCCGGAGTCCCGATGCAGCTCTACCCGCAAACTAATACCGACGCTAGTGACAACACCCCTGGCACGACTGACATATCAGATAATCAGTCAGAACGAAAGGAAAGCCAGGGGGTGGGGAATTTTCAATGACTGAAAAAAAAATGGAGAAAATAAAAAGTCTTGGCTTGTTGCGGCCTGATGCAATTGTAAAGAAAAACAGATTGATAAACCTTTTCCAACTCCGAGCCTAGCTGCCCATACAGCCAAACTTGCCAGGGATGATGGACGCAGGCACACGAAGCACGGATAGTGGTGCGCGCAGCACACACCGTCCGTATCTAGTGTCGAGTCAACCACCCCCCATAAACTGCATCACCCAAAACGCCAAGCCGGTGATGTGGATACAACAGGCATGAAAACATGTAGATTGGGAATCTGTGAGAAAAAAGAGGAAGAATAGGCAGGGAGGGCAGATCGAGTGCCGCCGCCGCCACATGAAGGTGGGAATTGTTGGAAATCGCAGAACGCATGCTTGGTAAAGAAAAAAAAACGGAGTCCTCAACGAAGCGGAGTCCGTCACCCCCGCTGGACCGGCGTCCGTTGATGGAAACGCCCTTCCACTGCCGCGTCAGGATCGGCTTCGTGCTCCGCTTGGCTATTGCCACGAACTGGTCCGTTGTGGTAATACGGCCAAGACGGTGAAGTCGGCGCCCGCCCGGTAGTCAGGTGACAGTGGCTTTGCTCTCTAGCGCGGGAAGGGAGGACGTGTGCCAATGTGCCCGCCGGAGCTAGCAATAGACTCTACAGTCGTAGCTCTAGACCAGCCGCCGTGCCGCTCCCTATGTGGCAGGGATCACCCTGATAAGAGGCCGAAAAGGGATAAAGCCAAAATGGATAGGACGCAGGCCAGTGGAGAATAAGGCTTCAGAAGGGCTGTGCCATGACTGTGGGCGGTAACGGGCGTTGTTGGTCATAGTCGTCCAGATATGTGTATGCGTGGTGTAAGCTGGAGAGTGTGGTGTAAGAGTGGTTATGGCGACCCGTTCTGCAGGGACGCAGCTCGTTTGTGCCTGGTGTTATGACGTGGGGTGTAGCCGTAGGCGGCTGATCTGACGGGATCTAGACTTTTGTTTTTGACTTCGCCGCACCAATGCAAGGGTGGAGCCTGCCCGCTGCGGGATGCAACGGAACCGGCGCCCCTCGCCCTCAACCCGTGCTCTTAGTTGCCGGGTTAGGAGAAGGCGCTCTCTCGTCCGTGCCATTGTAAATCAGCTGGAAGCCATCGCGGCGGCAGATAACAATGGGCTTGTCGTTGGAGCAGCGCCCGATGATTTCGCTGTTGTTCGGCAAGTTGTAAGGCACGGCGTCCTTGAAATGGATGATTGGGCCGCCGTCCATCGTGAGCCCGATAATTTCAGCTCCTTGAATGCCATCATCCTCATCAGAAGACTCGGCTTGAATAGTGTTCCTGTATCTCGTGTTAGCGCACATGTTTTCATCTTGGCGGGGGGAGGTTGGGTAGCAACCAATTTCCCGGGGTGGAAAGGTGCACGTACACTTGGCTCATGGGGAGCGTTCCGGCGTCACTCATCTTCCTCTTTCTCGCTGACGCCTTCTTGACTCTTCGGACCATGCATGTGTGGAAGTAGTGGAACAAACCCGCGATGACCAAGACGGGTGTGCCGAGAGCAAGAGCCCATGGACTATAATGATACGTTAGCGAAAACATGAGGCTTGCAAGTATGGCAGGGAGGCTACACACGGGTTCTTGCGTTGTCTCAGCTGGTGGACAAGGGCCAGAATGACTCCGCATACTGCAATGAGAGATCCGACCTGAATCATGGTGAAAGTCGACCAGTACAGCGACATGAGGTCCTCGCCGTCGCAGAACTGCAATGCCATCAAGGTGAAGACCTCCATAATGACCGTCGCTAATGAGACGCAAACGCATCCCAGGTTGAACCAGATGCAATGCTTGATGGCTTTTTTCCTTTTTGCGTCCGTCTCGGGGAGTTCGCTCACAGCGTCCAATGTCCTGAACAGTTGGTCAGTGAGACTGTTTGAGGAAAGATGACCGTGAGACGCAACGGTTTTTGCGGGGGAACTCACCGTGTGTAATTCCATGCTGCCAGGAATAGGATGAACAGATTGAAAACGAACAAAAGCCAGTACATGACATCGAACTGCCATCTATCCAAGTGAGATGCGAATCTGGCATAGTGCTCACACCGCACCGGGTCGAAAGGTGTAAAGTCTTCTTCGTTGGCCGACATCGTGACTGTTGTGTGCGTGTTGATCTGGTTGTTGGGTTGTAGAAGATGCTTTCACGTCTTCTTTTGAAAATCGTCTGGTGCTCCGGATGACAGAGCGTTGATGATATTGGCACTTGACAGATGGTGATGCAAGAGGCTCTGCTTCTTTATAGGTAAAGAGGCTCGTTTTGTAAAGTCACCGATCTGCAGGGTTATGATGAGTCGGTGCGGACTTGTCCAGGCTTGCGTGTGCGAACAGGGAGGCGCTTTCAGTCAGGCTCTGATGGCGGGCAGGGGTTGCCGTGGTGCTAAGTCTGCCGAGGGACACCCCGGTGTGTTCGTGCAGTGTGCGGACTATGAGGCGAGGGGTGTATACTGAGATAATCTGTACGGTGGAGGTATAGATCAAAGCTCCTATGGCTTGTCAAGCAGAAATGTGAGATTAGCTCAGATTGAGATGGCAGAATGGCTCGTCACTGCCCAGGGGACTACTGCAGTTCTGCAGTCACCTAGAGGCCGTTCGCTCCACTCGGCCTTAGACCAATGTGTGGATCCAAGGCCAAGTTCAAACTCATCTTGTCACCAATGATGCACCGATGCTGAGTCGAGAGAGGAGGGAGGCCAGGAATAGTGCTTGAAACAAGACGATAGTGACAGCGTCGTCGACATGGCTGGTGGTGATCCGCATGTGGATGGCGATGCTGTCTGGGCGATGTCTGGGCAGTCTCTTGGCAAGATGCGCGGGATAGGACGTAGATTGCCGATCTGTAGGCGGGCCCTTGGTGACGGCGCATGTGCATTTGGATTGGTCGGCCGCCGCATTATTCTCCGGACTAGGGGGGGCTTAGCAACGACGTCCAGACTTTGCAACTCTGTTGCACAGATATTCCATGGTTCCCTAAGCTCCAACGACGAGCTTCCCTTGTCCAACAATCCATTTCTTTCCCCCCATTACCCCGTCCCATGCCCGCTCCGACGCCGTCAGTGGGAGGCCACCCCGCGTGCCCGCAGTGTCCGCACGTCTCATCAACGAACCCTCAACTCGAACATGTGGTTCCTCAACTCATTCCCTCCATCAGCTCAACTCTATCAAGCATCATTCCCTTCAGACCAAGATACTCCTTTAGCGAGTCCCACTCAATACCGCCCTCCTCACCGTGTCGCCATTTCTCTCTGTAACCCCAGGCGCATGCGATGTCATCCATGCCCGCCCTCTCTTCTTCACGCAGCCAGCGCTGGTGCAACGGAATACCGGGCGCCCAAGTGACTCGTCGCATATGATCATTGACAGTGGTTTTGGCAACCATCCCAATCGTCGCTGTGAACCCCAGATAAGCCAGGATGGCGGCGAAGGCAAACTTTGTGGCTGTCACGGGCTCCATTGTGTTCTGGAATGCCGAGAGATTGGAGGCAAGAGTGTAGACTCCAAAGGGGGCCGCTGCCACGGCCGAGACGGGCAGAAGCGCCTTCCGCAGAAGCTTTTGGCGGTAGAATGCTTGTGTTGCGTAGCAGGCCTCAACGATGCCAATCGCAGCGTCCAAATTCTTGGCGTCGATGGCGGCACCCAGAGCTGTTTCGGCCACACTTGCTTCGATTGCCTTGTCTGCCCTATTTGGGTTCTGCTGAACATAGGAGATTGCACCCTCGACCGCCTTTGGTTTGGGCTTTGACGCATACAATTCGAAAACATGGGGAAGTGTCTCGGGCCTGCCAAGCCTAGCTTGGATGTTTACGTATAAGTCCAAGACCTGGGGACCAATGGAAACGGTGGGGTGGGCGATAATTTCGTATGCTGACTCGGAGATTGTGTCGACTGTATCCTTGACAGAAACTGACGGGATCGACGCGCTACCAGATTTAGCTGCAGTCAAGTTCGAGTCCAAGGATAACAGATTGGAAGCGGTCGATGCTGTGAGTGTCGAGGCCGGACGATTCTCCGACCTGGATAGATAGGGTTGAATCGCATTTGCGGCGCCTTGGCACGTTTTCAAGACTGCAGTGACGAGCTGTGTGGTGGGAATTCCGTCTGTAGAGAGGAAGTGCTTTCTGCTCTGCTGAACCACGGCCGCCAGCTTGCTCAGATCAGGGAGTTCCTTGGACGACGGACTGGCCGTTGCAGGCCTCTCGTGACCATTCTTTTGCAAAGCCGAAGCAGGTACCGTGCTCGCCAGGCGACTTTTCTCAAAACCCCGTCTCAATGTGGTATTCTCGTAGAGCTGGGCAGATCGAAGAGGGACGATCGAAGGCACGTTTGGCTTGGCGGTATGTTGGAGTCGAGTCTGTTGACCGGCGCGTGATAGGCCCACGCATGATTGACAAACGAAGCGAGGCTGGCGAGCCGCTGGCCGGATGAAGGCGGTCCGCATCATCTTCGTAGCGGAGAGGATAGTGCGCGAGGTCGGGTCGAGGAGGAGGATGACGAGCGTACGCGTCTTCGGTGACTGAGGATTGGACGATCTGAAGCACACAACGAGCGAGCGGGCGTGAAGTCGTAGACTGGCCTCTCTGGGCTGCAGCGGTAGAGCGAACAGCGAAGCAATCGGGATAGATAGTCCGTTTCGTAGCGAGGCAAGCCAAGAGAATCAAGCAAAAGGGGGCCGTCGGGCGGGTGAGGCAGAAACCGTGGGGGACAAGCAGCCGGGAGAGGCCGTCTTGGGGCTTGGTACTGGTTGAGGAGAGAAGGCCGACAAAGAATCCCGGGTGATGTGAGGCACTGGTACCGTGGGACGGTGGGATGAAGCAAAATTGGAGGACGGGAAAGGACTCTCGGAGCTCTGGACGCGACGGAGGTTCCGGGGAAAGCTGGGAGCTCATGCAAAATTTCCACCTTGAGCCCCATACCCCCCAATAGCACGTCGTCTAATTACCCGCACCTGCCCCCCTAGCCTTACAGGCGATCATTCACGCGGCAGGGAGGCTCTCGCAGCTCGGGACAGCGCGCCGCGCCAATGAGATTAGCAGTTGCCCCTCCTAGGCGGGGTCGCTTTGGGGCAAGTACAGGAGAGTACAGCGCCCAGCCAATACTTGAAGGTGCACTGAAGAAACGTGGCCGGCAGCAGCCACAGCCGTCCACTGGCGTTACATGCCGAGTATTCTGAGAGCCTACGCGCACCTCTTTGGCGCGAACTGTTACACTGCCACTTTACTCACACCGTCTGCTGCGTGTTTCTCAACACCATTTCTTCCAAGACGTTAAAGCTGTAGATCTTTATTGTAGCTCTGCATTAGATACAATTAACATCTTTAGCAATGAGTTGGTCTCTTGGGCCTATTCCGGTTTGTTCCGCAAGTTGTCTTGGCTTGCGAGAGTGCTCATACCCTGGATCACTATTCTTCCCATACGCCACATCGCATGCTTACGTACTGCCCAGCCACAGGTACGTGGAGAGACATTTGAGGCTGATGGGCCAGAAGATACTTAGGCTGCTATGGCATCAGCCCGCTAGTTGGAAGTACCTCAGACCAGGCAGGCGCCTCAGCCCACTTTGACCGTAACGGTTGCACTGCCAGCGCCTAACAGCGCAGCGCCTTTGAGCGAACGACCAAGATACTGCCCGAAGATGACGAAACACCACGCGGCTGAAAAGCGACCCCAGAGTACCATCATCCCATCGACCCTTGAGGACACGCTGATCGAACCCCTCGAGAGCCTCAATCTCCTCCTGCTATTGAAACAGCACCCTGTCGCTCCATTCTACTGTATCTGAACGACATCTCTCGCTCATTCTCGCCATTGAACCCAACCTATCAAGCTTGGCTTGCATGAGCCTCCGTCCAATTCCGGCCGACGACCTAACCACCATCAACCACCTCTCCATCGACGAGAGTCAACCACAACAACCATCATTTACTCGATATTGAAAGCGCAAACACACAAGAGACATAGAAACAAACTGCATCATGCCCCCTCCACCTCCGCCGCCGCCGCCGATGCCTGCGATGGGCGGCCCTCCTCCGCCTCCCCCGCCGCCAGGAGGTCCTCCTGGAGCTGGCAATCTACCTTCGAGACCACCGGGAGGCAGAGTACGTGTTTGAAGCTCACAAGTGGACTTGAACGCTTTGTCACAGCATCATACTGATACGGGTCACAGGGCGCTCTACTCTCCGACATCACAAAAGGCAAGGCTCTCAAGAAAGCCGTTACGAACGATAGATCTGCGCCGGTAGTTGGGGGTTCGTCTGGTGGCGTTTCCTCCGGAGGACCGCCTCTAGGAGGTGCGCCTCCGGTCCCAGGCTTTGGTGGTGCCCCTAAACCTCCCGGTGGCCTCGCTCCTCCGGTGCCCGGAAATCGAGCTAGAAGCAATAGCGACCAGAGCGGGCGAGAAAGCGCGCCTGCACCGCCCACACAGGCAGCACCACAATTAGGGGGACTCTTTGCGGGAGGCATGCCGAAGCTGCGGAAGACTCGTGGCGCCGTTGATACCGGTGCTTCTATGGACTCGTCATATCTGTCGGATCCCGAGAGCAATGTGCGGTCGTCCTCTGCGCCGAAGCCGCCCACATTCGGAGCACCAAAACCTCCTGGCGGTGCGGCGCCGGCCCCGCCGGGAAGGCCGCCTTTACCTCCTCCCAACGCCGCACCGGCCCTGCCACCATCCATTGCCAACTTGCGCAAGACGCCCAGCGATCTACCTCGGCCAGGCTCTTCAGCATCGATGAAAGGACCTCCGCCCCCTATAGGCAAGAAGCCGCCGCCACTGCCAGCATCCCGGAAGCCCTCGACTACGCCCAGCCACCCGCCTCCATTACCTGGATCGCCAGCTCCAGGAGCACCCCCTCCACCACCTCCATCGTCTGCTCCAGCACTTCCGTCCGCACCCCCCTCGGCGCCGCCACCACCCCCTGCTGCTGCCGCTCCCAGAGCTCCAGCGCCATCGCCTCCGTCGAGGTCCCCAGCACCTCCACCTCCTCCACCGGCCTCAAACGGACCTTCGCCGCTGGCAATGCAAGCCGCTTTACGAGCAGCCGGCCAGGCATCTCCAAGTGCTGCTCCACCGCCTCCCCCATCGGCGGCCCCCTCGCCCCCCGCCTCTGCACCTCCTCCACCAGCAGCACCCCCTACGAGGGCCCGTGCTGGTTCTGGTCTACGATCTTCTATGCTAGATCCAAGCGCCTTCACGCTTGCTCCCAATGGTGCAAAGAGTCCAAGTCCTACTCGAACGAACACGATGAGCAGTCTCAATGTCGGCGGTGGTGGTCAACGATACATCGTACAAGATCCTCGATGGAAGTTCCAGGATGATGCCATGTTGCCAAAGCCAAGGGACTTTGTAGGCGGTCCCCGGCGATACAGAGCCGGCAGAGGTAGCAGTGTTCCTCTTGATCTCAGCGCCCTATAAGGGGGTCGGACTAGATACGGATTATTCCGTAGCCTGATCAGCGTCAAGTTCTATCAAAGTTTGGGTCTAGAGTGGCGACCAGCCTCGGGCAATCTACATGAATCAAACGATCTGCACTGCTATGATTCTTGGTGGAAACGCACCCCTTGTTGCTGCATGGAAGTCATCCGGCTGGGATTTCTCGCAGAAGACGGAGAGGGTTCAATTTCGACGCCTTTTGCCGGTGGGCTATTGTTAGTCGCCAAATTGAGGATATTCTGGAGGATTCGGGCTCCGCAAAATCTTATACAACGGAACAAGCATTCGCAACACATCCTGAAGGCGTCGTCGTATCGGCACTTCTTGGCCCCGTTACCTTGGCGAAACGATCGACTGAGACGAATCTAGATCTCTCGGCCGTACTCGTCTTGGGAAATCTCTTGGTATTCTTGGTATTCATGGTACCAAGAACCATGGTTGCTTGTCGAATGCTTACACTCAACGTCCTCTTCTTCGGATGGAACGGGGGGTTTCTACAGATTCTCTTACAGGGTCGTCAGGGACTTTGAGGGGCAGACGGGCTTGGCATGCAAGCAAGCACTCGCAGCGATCTGGAGAGTGAAGAAGAGCAAAGGATCACGTCATTCAAGAGAGCCATCACGCTAGCGAGATGCTCGGTCTTTCTGTTAGACATTGGTAGAAATCAGATTACTTACAAGATCCGGCTAGATTCTAAACCTGATCGTTGCTGGTATATTGATTACCAACCGCTCCATCTTGAACATATGGGCAGAACAAGTACTGGAGTGGATCCGTCGTTGTGTATTAGTCACGTCCGTCCGTCTTCGAGGCAGCCCTCATCTACCTCAATCCCTGAATGCCAGTCGCCTCCGTATAGGCCCGAGGGGAAGAACGTTCAACCAAGCACGATCACGATCACGATCCTACCTTTCACAAATTGATAATGATAACCCCTCATGTCGTCCAGTTGAACCTGGCATGCTTCATCAACCGGGCACGTGAATCAAAGCAACTCGGTTCAACTTTCCGACTCAGGTAGTAGTAGGCCCCATCGCGTCTTCAACGCTTCAGACGAAGGAGTTCACCTAGTTACACAAAACGCAACACAGCCTCGTCGACGCAACTGGTAGTCAGTAATCAGATCTTTCGTTCTGCCCTTGAACTTTTTTTTTGACAAACTCGCGACAAGAGACTAAAAAAGTTGAGACGAGAATCTCTCTCTCTCTCGCCCGGGCCCGCGTAAAATTGACCGGTTGAGCCAAGTCTCAGCATCTGTAACCGAAACTTGCTTCGGCGCGAACCTCCAAAAAAAGACTCGACGTTGAAGAGAGAAGAGAGAAGAGAAAGGCTATCCGTAGAAACCCCCAGAAGACACCCCTCCCAAAGGGGTCAAGTTACGAACAAGGCTCAGGCTTCAAAACGTTCCAAAACAGGCATCATACGAACTCCTCGGGGTCCGGGGGAAAACTCACTGCCCAGTCAAGACTACATCTTATCACATGCACAACATACGTAAAGCGGCGTCCCCGGGAGACGAAGGAATCTTCATGTGAACCGTGCCCCGTTGATTGATTAAAGCTACCTCCTGTAGGGCGTGTGTTTCGGAGAGGAGAGAGGAAAGAAAAAAAACACCCCGTTGCTATCCCGCAATCGAGGGTTTCAAATACGTCCGCCGGCCGATTGCTTGCAGAAAAACGAAGAAAAAATCACTTTAACCCATGGGTTCGATAGCCCCGCGTCGAGGTTACGATCGATAACCTCACACCTTTGAACAACTCCCCGCCCTGATGCTTCGAGCAAATCAAAAAAAGGAACTTGTACGCGATAACCCCCCCCCCCCCCCCTGAACTGGACCTAGACAAGAGAAAAAAGCTTTCACGCCATGCCGGCCCAGATCCTTGGCTGGTCTCCTCCACTTCCACTCCTACACCCCAGATCATAGATCGTTGATCATTTCAGATGAAGATTCAAAAAAGATTGATAATGTCCCCGCACCACACAAGCCACCCCGGTTTGAACCCCCGTTTTCGTTTGCCAGGCATATTCCGCGTTTCCTTCCCCCGTTTGGGAAGAAGAGGTATCCATGAAAAGATGAGAAAAACTTGCAGTCGTCTATATTCGTCAATGTCCGCGCTCATACCCGTTCGTGACGAAAAGAGAAGAAAGCTGACAAGAGGTGTATGAAGAAATAGGTCCGGAAGCCCAAAAGATCCAGTACCCCGGATCCGCCTGTACGTAAATAGCATCCGACGCTTCATGATTCAGACGACATGTTCGACGATCGACGCAGATTCAAAAATCTCAGGCGACGACGCTTCGACCAACCCCCGCACCCCACCTCAGGCGACGAAGCCCGCCGCCGGACGATCGAATAACTTCCCGTCCGCACGAAGATGAGTCCGCAACTGCCGAGGCGTTGACACCTACTCCTGCTGATAGTGCTTCCTGACGTCCTACTTCACGGCCGATCACATATCCCGCACCAAATCCTACCACAGACACCAACACCACCACGCCAGCACTGACAACCCATGTCAACAACGTCGGGCTGATGAGGGCATCCTCGCTGGCCGCGACCTTCTTCTTCTTTGTCGCACGGGACGAGCGTGTCTGTGAGGAAGAGGTTCGCTTGTGCTTATCGACACCGTCGGTCTTGGGTGATGAGGGGGCAGAAGACGCCGCCGTCCGTGACGGACGGGCAGCGGGAGACTTGGCAGGAGAGGCGGTCTGAGGTTGGGTAGGTCTTTCAGCCATGAGCTCAGATTCGGGCATCAGCCGTAACTCAACAGGTTGAGAGCTAGGTCCGACTCCGGTATGCGCGGGTGGAGCGCCCTGTCGCTCGGTAGTATCCTTATACTTGGGCAGACCACGGGCGGCAGCGGCGCACGATAGCAGAGTCGTGAGGGAAGCACGGAGAGCCGCGTCATTATCGGCTTGATATGCGGGGGACATGAAGTTTGGCGGGCCCCGGCTAACTCTAGTTTGAGATCGTTGGGATAGTGCGGGCCTTACACCGCTGTGCGGATGCTGGTGGATCGCCGAGCTGGCCGAGTGTCTCCTATCCAAGCCCGAGGGCGGATGAGAGAATGCGTTTGGCTGAGGTCTGAAGACCGGATCATCGGAAACGCGACCCAGGGCGGTAGCAATCTCATCGCTATCGTCAGAGTCCTCCGAATCCTCCTGCGCCGATGGTTGCTGTTGGAACGACGCTCGCACCGGAGGCCGAACGTTCTCGGTCGAGCTCGTCAGACATCGGTCCTCCTCGCTTTCACTCTCCTCGTACTCCTCTTGGCTACTTGTACCAGCGTGGATAGCCGTCTGGTCGACATGAAAAGATCGTGGCACAGGTTGGTTTTGGTGATGTAAGCGACGTCGGCGGGCGGCCATGGACCCACCGACTCGGAGACCGGTGGTGACGATCTCGTCGCCGATGGAAGAAAGAGAAGATGAAGAAGGCTGCGACGAGACCTCTACCCACGAATCTAAAAAGAGAGATGTCAGCATTCTGTCAATCTGACTAGCCGAGTGGCTGTCTTCTAGTGACTGACCGTCATTCCGTCTGCGAGGGCCCGCGGCGGGCTGTGATCCGTTCGCCGACATTCTGTTGTTCTGGAAGTTGTGTCCTGCGCGGTCGTCGCGCTGCTGTCCATCCATTTTGAGGTTTATATTTTTTTTGACGCCGTTGAATTTCGAAAAGAAAAAAAAAGTAGCCAGAGATATAGAGAAAGGTCGTTCGTAATCGTCAGACGTCGTTGTCGTCGTGGTCGTCGAGGGAGGTGGTTGGACGTATGTGGGGGGGAGTACTTCCTCCGTCCCAAACCCCGCGTTTTGGAGATAAGATACGCTCGTGAGATCTCCGTAGCAAGGGGTCCGAGTTGTCTGTTCGCTCGACGTTGAAAGTGGTTTGAAAAACGCGCTGGTTCACGACGGAAAAGGAGTTGAAGTAAGAAGGGGGAAACAAAAAAGTAGGTAAGAAAGGAAGGGTTGCAGCAGACCGCTTCGACTATAGCCGGCTCACCAGGCACGCAGGGTCGGTGAGATGGTGTTGAGGCCCGGCTGGTGGATGGCTGGCTGGGCCTTTGTGCAGCACGTAGAGGTCGGGGAACCTGGAAGGAGGGGAGGGGCCTCTCTGTCTCTGTGTCCACCTTGAGCGTGCAATACGGCAGGTGGGATAACGGACGCTAGTAGATAATCTGGAATGTCACTGGATGTACATCTGCAGCAGTCATTCGCGTGGCAGATACCTGGTCCTCCGAGCCGGCGCTTGGAGGTTCCGGCCACCGTACCGTGTCAGGTGGCATGGCCTCCGCCTTATCAGATGGGCGTTGGCCGGCTGCAAACAGCGCGATAAGCACAGTACGACATTTCTCTGATCAAGGGAACGTCCTTGATATGGATGACGCTATCGTTACGGTCAGGGGGGGAGGAGAGACAGCCATACACTGTTGCGTACTCCGTACGAATGGACGCATCCACGTCCACGTCCCGCCTCAGAACATCCCACTTTGGCACTTACACACCGTCCGGGCCGCTAAGTGCAGGCGCTGCAGGGGGTCAGGTGGGGTCGAGATTCACGGCGTTTTGCAGCGGGAAGCGCGAGCTGCGCCCACCACGAGTCCCTCGACCACTTAACACCGTGACACCGACACCGGCTCTCCAAGTTTCGGTCGCATATTGCGTGGTCTACCTCTGTACGGCAACATGGGAAATGCGGAGAGGATTGCCGTCCGGCGCTGCTAGTGGTCTGCCGACGCCGCGACATGCATCCCACGACAAGGGCGATCCCAAGACACGCCGTGATTCTCGTCTTATTATCGTTCCCTAAGTCATGCCAGATTCCACTGACGTGCTGTCGTAGGTAGCACTGGACTGCTGCCCTACTCCTTGTCCTTCCCTTCGCACCACCGTTTCCCCAACAGAATAGCCTCCGTTTGGCGCCTTGGAGAAAGGCCACCTAACTTAGTCAAACGGCTGAGCAGGTTTTACAACCATCTGCTGGCGAACGGGTGTTCTCCCGTGACGTTTATTAGCTGAGAAGGGCAGGAGTGACCAAAGGACGGGTGTTCTAGTGGGATGGGACATTTCAGAGGAAGACACAGCTTTGCCCGTCATCACGGGGCTGAATACGCACCTCGTGCCGCCCAATGACGCAGAATCGCACATTTTAAGCTGGCCACGAGGCTACCGTTGTATAGGACCGAAATCGGGCAGTTCGCCCCCCCCTCCCCCCAAATGAGACATGGAACCACGTTCCCGTCTTAGAACACGGCCGCGATCTGAGATAAGGTCGCAGACGACATCAAACATCACGTGTTAGGTAAATATGCATAGATGAAAGAGGATAAATGTGTATTCATCGAGGAAGGTATCAAAACTTTTATTACAATTAGAGCCGTTCCTTAACGCCGAATCCACCTGGCAATATATGCCTTTTTTGAAATGACATTCACGGGGATAAGTATACTTACTCCACATCCTGCATCGCATTGCATGGTATCGTTCCAAGTTCAAGAGTAACCGAAAGGGAAGAAAAACGCCTGACTAGCCACATCAACAGCCGAAGCCGTTGAAAGCAACCCCCAGAGCCCACAGAAGCCGTCGTCATCTAGAATCATCGAGTCCCCTCCGTCGAGGTCTGCTAAGCTGGCAGACATCGGGAAGGATCTTCCCCAGTTTCATGATAATAAGCCGTCTGCCCACTGTGAAGATGTTGCAGTGCAACGAATGCCCTCTTGGTCAACCCACAATAGCGTACAGATCCCGCACCGTCTTCTTCCATAGAAAGAGACTTGCCACAAGCCTACGGTCCAAATGAAAAGCCCTCAGGTCCATCTTGTCTCCCAAGAGACTGCTCTCAAAGCCCACAATCCCAAAAAAGGGAAGAAACTTGTGTCGAACCGACAGCCCACAGTAGCCCACAGGAATGCCCGCGAAGTGCCCTCTGATCAATCATCAATGTGCGGCATGCATCACCGTTTAGAAGGTGACCTTGGAGCCCTTGAAGTCGCCGAAACCGCCACGGTTGGTGGAGGAGAAACCACCACGGCCGCCACGGCCACCACGTCCACCGCGGTCACCACCGCCACGGCCTCCGAAGCCGCCGCGTCCACGACCGCCACCACGGCCGCCACCGAATCCACCGCGGCCGCCACCCTCACGCTGGGGCTTCTGGCCGGCGTAGTCCAGGCGGACAGCGCGAGCACCGCGGCCCTCACCAAGGTAACCACCGTTCAGCTGAGTAAAGGCAGTCTTGGCGTCCTCGACGGAGCCGAAGGAGACGTATCCGAATCCCTTGAGGTTACCCGACTCACTACAAAGGCGTTAACATTGATCAAGTTGGTACAAGTTGTGGAATATACTCACGGGTCAGTGGGCAGACGGACGCTGGTGACCTCAGCAGCCTCAGTGAAGAAAGCACGGACGGAATCCTGATCAATGTCGAAGGGAAGGTTGCCGACGAAGAGGGTGTCGCTCTCGGGGGAGACCTGGTCGCCGTGCTTCTGGGCGCGGTCGAAAGCGCGGGCGGCGGGGTTACCCTCGCCCTGGGGCTTCTGGCCGGAGAAGTCGATGTTCATGGCACGGCCAGAGAGCTCACGGCCCTGAGCGGCCTCGAGGGCAGCGGCAGCAGCCTCGGGGGTAGAGAAGTCGACGTAACCGAAACCACGGCTGCGGCCAGTGTTCTTGTCGGTGACGACGCGAGCGCCGGTGAGATCGGCGAACTCCTCGAAGGCGGCGTACAGGGAGTTGTCATCGACAGCCCAAGCAAGGGAGCCGACGAAGAGGGTAGAGCTCTTGTCAGAGACATCGGTGCGTGCCTTCTTGCCGGGGATGACGGGGTCATCAAGGGCCTTGCGCTTCTTGGAGGGCTCTTCAGCCTTGGCCTCAGTCTCGGATGCTTCCTTAGAGTCGGAGGTCTCCTCCTCATCAGAGTCGGAAGAGTCGGAATCGGAGTCGGAAGAGTCGGAGCTCTGTGAATGGATTGTTAGAAAGTGTTATGGTCCTCAAGACGATGGTTAAACTCACGGCCTCAGCCTTCTTCTCAACCTTCTTCTCGGCCTTCTCCTCCTCAGACTCGGAGTCGGAGTCCGACTCGCTGTCAGAAGACTCAGCCTTCTTGGCGGCACCGTTGGTCTTGGGAGCAGCCTCAGCCTCAGACTCGGAGGAGTCAGAGTCAGAGTCGGAAGAGTCAGAAGACTCGGCCTTCTTGGCGGCAGCAGCCTTGGGGGCAGCCTTCTTGACGGGCTTCTCCTCCTCAGACTCGGAGGAAGAGTCGTCGCTGGAAGCCTCAGCCTCAGACTCAGAAGAGTCGGAAGACTCGCTCTCGGAAGACTCAGACTCGGGCTCGACGACCTTCTTGGACTTCTTGGAAGCCTTCTTCTCGACCTCCTTGGCAATGGCCTTGGACTTGGCCTTGGGGCTCTCAGAGGCCTTGGTGACGCCAGCGCCCTTCACCTTGGTGAGAGGGTCGGCGGCCTTGGTGGCCTTGGTGGATGACTTGGTCTTGCCCATTGTGATGATTTTGAAAGGGTAAACGGAAGGGGTATCAAAAACAAGAGATTGATATTTGGAAATAGGCAAGAGAAAGACTTTTTCCAGAGGGGTTGCACAAGAGAAAAGTTGATAGAAGCTTGGGGGTGGGAGCTTGACTTTTAAGGCCAGGGTCTCGGTGGTTGGGGCGAAGGGTCTTGCGACAGAGATTTTTTTTTTGCGATTTGCCAACTTTTCAGCGGGGCTTCTCCCTCGACTGCGCGGGCGGTGTGCGAGGGGCTGCAAGATAGCGGGTCCATCCAGGTACGTACCGAAAAGCCGCAGCCGAGTCGCTCTGGGGGAAAGCAGGAACGACGGCCGTGGTCCGTGAGCAACGGGGGCGCGACTGAGCCTGCGAATTAAGGCCGCCGGAATCTGGCTGACCTCTCTAGCTGCCAGGTTCCTCCACTCCCGACAGCCAACGGTCCCGAAGTCGACCATTGCGAATCCACGAAGCTTGACCACACTCCGTCCGCGACCTCCGACCTCCTGGCTCAATTCGAACTTCATTCCTTCCTCGAGAAGACGACTTTTGAATACACAACTCAGTCATAATGCCGACCCCCGAGTCCGCGATGTTCCTGGCACAAAAGCCCAAGGTGCCCCCAACTTTCGACGGCGTCGACTACGACGACACCAAGGCATTCAAGCAGGCACAGGACGCCATCATCCGTGAACAATGGGTCGGCGCTATGATGCTGCGCCTTGTTGGCGAGGAATTGGGCAAGTGCTACAAGAAGGAGGGCGTGAACCACCTGGAGAACTGCGGTCACCTCAGAGGTTAGTAGGCCTTTGCGAGAGACGGAGGGGAGAGCTCGATTTGCAGTCCACCAGCGGGTGTATCTTGGCCGGGTGAAGAAAAGACGCTGATCAGTGATACAGAAAAGTACCTGCAATTGTTGAAGGAGAAGAAGGTTAAGGGCACACTGTTCGAGCAGCAGAACTACATCAGCAAGCAATAGATATGCTGTACGATGGGACGGAGTAGGAGGGACTGTTGTGAAGCAGGAAGCGGCGCTCTCGAAGACGACCTCTCTCAGGATTTAGAAATGAGGAACGCAGAGACGACGCTGTGACGGTACCACGTCAACGAGCCGGAGCGTGATGGGCGATATCCCTCACGATATGTACAAATGAATCAAACAGGGCTTTTGAGGTTATGCATCTATCCGTGTCCCAGCTTCTGGTCACCCAATGGCTCTCGAATCAGCCAGCTTTGAGAAAATTTCCGCTGGCTTCTATCAGATAATTCAAATTATTATCTTATGTTCATCAATTGACTTCAATGACGGGTTGTAAGTGAGGGTGAAGGGCCGGTGAAGCGTAGTGCCCAGAGCCTCCCATGCCAAGTGCGCAACAGGCGCGTTCCGCCCGCCCCAGAATTTTTCCACCCCCGAGCTCCAAGCTCACGCATCCTGCAACACCACCAAAAGTTCAAGGTGATCCTCGTCGACGAACAACCCACAAAGATATCCAGCACCGGTGACGCAAATCGGCCGCGCTCGGCAACCCCCCAGATACAGAAGCCATGATTTGCAGAACGTGCATGCGCCGCGGCGCCTCGGCCTTACCCCGTCTCCAGGCCCCTCGCGCCTCGTCCCTCCTCATCAGACCCTTCTCCCTCTCCGCGCCCTCAAGAAACGCAGTAGAAGCGCCTGCTGCAGGAGCTGCTGCTCCTGCTACTCCTGCCGCCACCAACGCCAAGGACGCGCCCCCGAAGCTCTCCTCGTCCACCGCCGACATCCCCGAGGCCGCGGCGCCCATCTCCTCCTGCCCGCCCGGTACCGTCCTCAACGGCCTCAACTACTTCAAGAACAAGACGGACCCCGTCGCTCTCCCCGATGAGGCGTACCCCGACTGGCTGTGGACGGTCCTAGAGTCCAAGAGCGAGGCTGTAGAGTCTACGGATGACCTCGCCGCCGAGATGTTTTGTACGTTTCCCTTTTCCCACCCAATTTGCCCTGGCTCAAGAAAAAAACCATGTTGAGTACAACATCTAACATACAAAACGCACAGCCAAGTCCAAGAAGCAGCGCAAGGCCGCCGCCAAGAAGCAAAAGGCTCTCGAGGCCAAGGTTCTTGCCTCAGGCGACCTCGAGGCCCTCGCACCAAAGGTCCCGCTGCCCCAACAGTCCATCAACTTGCCCGGAGAGAAGGGTGGCGACGTCGAGCACAACCTCGAGGCGGCGACCAAGAGAGACGAGCTGCGCAAGGCGATGCGCAAGGACCGCAAGGCCAAGATCAAGGAGTCCAACTACCTCAAGTCCATGTAAGCGGGGGGTCGTGGTGGCATCGCTGTGGTGGCTTGTTGCATCTTGTATGGTTGCTACGTATGTGGCAGGAAGGGGTCGAGATTGTGTATCATAGAGAGCTCTCAAGAAGGGGGCTCCTGTACAATATCTACGGTCGTCATGACCGGCTTGTTATATCATCACCAAAATATCAACTGGACGAGTAAGAAGAACGATGTTCTTAGAGCACTGCGGGCTCTGGTTTCCAATATTAAAAGCTTGTGGGCATGATAACTATACATGGCCGTAGATAAAATTGCTTTGAAGTGGATATTCTTGCCCTTCCGTTTGCAATCTTATGTGGGCGCTTAAGGCGCTTCTGCCTTAATCGTCGTCCTCCTCTTCTTCGTTGATAGACGTTTGCTTGAGCGCCAATTCTGCCCTCAGCTGCTTCAACCTGTCCTCCACACGCTTCCGCAGAATCTTGTTTTGTTGGAGAGCCTTCTCCTGCTCCTTTTTTGCAATCTCTGCCTTGAGATTCACGATATCTTCTCTGACGGCCTTGATTTCGTCCTGAGGCGGCTTGTCCTCGTCGTCATCGTCGTCATCGTCGTCGTCGTCGTCATCTTCGTCCTCTTCACTAGCGACGGACTCATCCCCATCACGTGCGTTGGCTGCCGGTGTGCCGGCGTTCATAGTCATCGGCGTGGCCCCCTCAACTTGTGTTGCTGGTGTGCCAACCTCAGTCGTGGCCTGGTTCAACTCCTCTTCGAAAGCAGCCTCGAGCTCTGCCTCCAAATCATGATCATCGTCGTCAAATAGTTCGCCGTTGGCATAGCCCTCAGAGGGGAAGTAGCCGCTGTCATCGGCCTCGCCATCGGCATCCTGTTCGTCGTCGGAGTACTCGTCGCCAGACTGCATCTTTCTGTCGTCGATGAACTCATATTTGGAGGACATAGCGGCCGCATCGGCCTGCAAGAGTTTCTTAACCTCGTTCTCCTTCAATTCGATCTCAGAGCGACTGATGATTTTTGCGAATCTTTGATTCGTTGCGTCGTGCATCGGTGGCGTCAGTCCGTGAGGCCACTTGAAGCCTGGCTGAATCATCGCAGGCAATGGTGCCTTCTTTGCCTCTTCGTCACTCTTTACAGGCTGGAAGACCAGCAGCATATGGCAGATGTCGGCTGACTTCATGAGCGTCTTCCGGTCCCAGGACTTCATTCCTTCCGTGATTGTCGGTAGCTCAACCATGACCGCTGCGTACGGTTGGTTTTTGACGACAACGACCGCGCGCCGGCTTTCGTCGTCGAAAAACTTCATCATTATATCCGCGCCACCATCTTTTCGAGTGAGGCCCACCTTGCCTTCTTCGACGCACTTCCTGACGTATTCGCAATGCTCTCCTGGCATCATGCGCAAAATGAACTGCTCCTCGATTGTAGGGTCCTTCTCTTGGTCGCTGGCTTCCGAGTCGTAGCCATCACCAGGGGGATGTACTGGTGGTTTGCCTTTCGACTTGACAACGATGTGACCCGATCTAGGTGTCGATACGTTCGGCGTCTTGAGAAGCTTGATCTTTTTCGAAGACGGTTGGTTTGCGCCGTCGTCATCTTCGTCTTGTTCCCTCTTCTTCGACTCGATGAGCTTGCTCGTGGGCTTCGATTGACGCCCAGCTTTTGTCTTGATTGGTGTTGGTGCTGCCGGCCCAGCCGGCGTTGGCGGTTGTGATGATTTGAGTTTAATCTTCATCCCAGAAGGTGTCGAAGCTGTAGGTGTCGCGCCGTTCTGTTCGCTGAATGATGTCTGTCGCGAATTCACGCTGAGCTTCAGCTTCGGCCGTGGCGGCGGCGGCGCACTGATGTCTGGCATCTTTCAAGGTCGCTCGTCGAAAGTGTTACGGGTGTTCGCAGTAAGGTATTTCTGTTTGTCGCATCCAGGGGGTATAGTCAGAGTTAAGAGAAGGATTTCGTTTGTGTAGATCGGAAAGGCAGGCGCGCCTCGATCTTCGCGGGGAGGTTAAGTGGAGCGCATACGGGATCCCTTTCTGATTGAATGCGCGGGAAACAATGTTCAAGGACTCGTTGAATCATGTGCGCCGGAGTTGTCGCCTTGGAGAAACTCTTGGCAGATCCGTACGCAATAGAATTCTTGGGTAGAGATTCGAAGGTGCGTGCATCAAGACCGGAGGCGCAAAGTTAGAAGCGGAAGTTGAGATCCATGGGTAATAAGGTACCTTAGGTCCTAGCTGACCACGGTACTTACGCAGTAGAAAGGTACCCGCACCCTGGAAAGTAGCTAACTTTGAGCAAGACCAGCCTTGCAGGTCGCGTGTGGTGAGTGGAAGCTTTAGCGTGACAAACGCTGGCGGCATGGTGCACAGACCCGACTGCTCTCTCAGGCAATGGAACCAACCGCATTCACTTCAATCACCTTACTGGAGACGTTGCGGTGGAACGGATACTCAGATCCATCTTGGTACGGAGTCACAGACTCCGTAAGGTAGTTGGTTGAAAGCAAGTCTTTTTCAGTATCTAACTAGGATAACTCTGGATATAAGCTCTGTTGCCACGCTACCTGTTAAGTTCCATCATCGCTATTTTCTCATCAAACATTGCGTCCTCTTCTACTTGCCTTCTGTTGGCCGACAACCATTCTATCAATGTGCTTCACCCAAATATCGAATGTTCTGCGCTTTGAGCCTACGTCTCACTCCAAATCATCTCGTAGCTTCGGGTCATCAACAACCTGACTGATATCTTCCCATTGGAGCTCATTCCCTATGGCAATGAATCTGGATCCTTTGCGGGTCTTGAGTTTCCGAACTGAGCCAGAAAACTGTTTCAAGAGGTTATCCTGCACAGAATTGGAAATTCCTTCGTCTTCAATGCCCTGAATAAAATCGTTGATGAATTTCCTCAAATCGTTGCCCCTCCTGCGAGGCGCTCGGTAGTACTCATCCATTTTGCCTTGCTTGTATCTCTGGAAGATCTCGAATTGCGTTGGGAGGCGCTTGGGAGCATTGGACTTTGCCGGTTTGGACTTGGGGGCTCTAGACTTGGATTGTTCGGGGACCAATTTAACGCGTCTCTTCGGTTGCTGTTGAGGCTTGGGCGGCGCTGAGATAGGCTCCTCACTGTCGACAGCTCGAGGCCTCTTTCTGACAACAGCCCGAACTAACACATGTCAGCTTCGTACTCTGTGTTTTGGGATTTGGATTTCCTACAGTTATCTGGGTCATCCTGCGTCGCCTGCAAGGACTGCTCAGCGACGAGTTGTGCAACCTTGCGGTCCAAAGCCGCCCTCTCTTCATCGCCCTGGAAGAGCCTATCTGCAAAAGCTCTAAGCTCTTCCTCCTGCTTCCGGATCTTTCCCTCTGCTGCTGCATAGTGATTGTTCAGTTCGGCTCCCAGATCATCCAGTCGCTTGGGCATGGGCTGCAGCTCCTGCAGCCTCGTCTCGCTGTTTTTGTTCGTCTCGTCGCTCTTCTCCTGGCGACGAGAAATGTCATCAAGAGCACGACGCATGGTCATGAGCTCTTGATAGATGACAATGTGGCTCATGCCAAAGGCCATCTGGGTTGCGGGAATGGTATTAGTTGCAGCGGCACCATTGTTCTGCATGTACCGTGACGTATTAGAACCAACGGCATCATACAAAGAGCTCTACTGTTGCTTACAGACGGTCCGGCAGGGGCAGCTGTGTGTTCGAGGTTCGACGCTGTAGCTGACCGTTTCTTCGACGTTGCCGGCGGCATTGTGATGGTTGTGGCTTCTACTGGTTTATGTAAGAGAATAGGAAGGCACCGAGAGGAATGACGTGATAGAAGAACACACACAGAAGTGGTTGAACAGGACAGAAGAGAGGAACGTCGAGCCGGTTGATGATATACAGAATGAGGGCTGAAGAACCGCCTGCGTCTTGTTTGGCGATGTGTGGAAAGGGGTTGAAAAGAAAGGAGGGCTTCGATTGCTCCCACAGAAGTCGGGGATGGCAGGTCAGGTGTCTGGTTCCAGGGTTTGCATGGCGTCGGAGGAAGTCAGGGCAGGTGCGAGAAGGTTCCTACCATTCCCAGATGTTCGTTGTGGGAAGGAGCCCAAGCCAGTCATTCATGCACCTGCTCTTCCTTGGGGGAGCTGAATCTAGAAGGGGCTCGAGGCATTCAGTGGCTTTTAACGATCATGTGTATTAGCTTAAACTCCTACTGCAACTTAGGTATCGCGTACTGGAAACTTGCAAAAGGCCTCCTCTCATGCGTGTACCTGGCCATTTGTCCCCGATCCTCCTCCATTCGTACTTCCTGCCGCTGGCTCTTTCCCATTCCTCGAAGACACGCCTTGCCTCGAAGTGCGACCACCCTGCATCGAAGACTCGGCATCCTCCAAAGTCATAGACGGCTTGCGGTTCGGGATCTCACTCCCTCCACCGTTCCCCTTGACGGCAGTCCACTTCCCTACGCTCGTTCCCTTCTCCCGCTCCTCAGCAATCCAGCCTAGAAACAGCGCAACGTCCTTAGCCACCACGCCAATGACGGCCTTTGCCTGAATCCACGCAGGCAGCACCCCCTTCGCGTCCGACGCCGTAGCCATAATCCATTCAATCGCCCCCGTCGGCAGCTTTCGAACCCTCTCGACGCTCACGTACGCGCCCACAACCACACCCTTCTCCTTGACGAGCTTCCCTTGCTCCGACGCAGCTAGGTCCGAGACGGGTATCGACACCACGACGAACTCGTCCACCGCACCCTTGGCCCTGGCCGAGATAATGAGCACGGGGAACACGCGGTTCTTGAGCGGCATCCCGAGCTTGTGCTTGATCTCCGACACCCCAACCTTGAAATTCTCCCACGACAACCCGCCCTCGTCAACGACGATACCGCTGCAATCCCACGCGAGCGCCTCCCGCGCCTCCATCACGTTGGGCGTAAACGCCTTCTCGGCCTCGACGTGGTCGTCCTTGAAACACTTGACAAACTCCTCCCACGCCGCCGTCCCCTTGCCCGGCCGATCTTTGTGGATGCTCCGCCGGCACGCCCACGTCTCGCTCGCGACCGAGCTGCTGTTGGGCAGCTGGTTCCTCGCCGCCTCCTTCTCCAGCTCCGCCGCGGGCACGATGCGCTCGTACAGCTCCACGGGCGCCGTCGACTCGGGAAACGTCTTTGTGCCCTTGGCCTTCCACTCATTGGGGCGCGCCGTGCCGTCCTTGGGCGCCACGGCGTCGATAAACGGAACGGCTTCTTGGAGCACGGCGATGAGAAACGGCGCCAAGTCCGCCGTCGTGGCGCTCGGCGCCGGGAGCTGCTCCGTCCGGAGGCCCCATAGGCGGACCAGGGGTCCCAGGTTTTCGTCCTCAGTGTTCATTCCGGCAAGGTCCGGGGGTTTGTTGTACGCCTAAGCTTCTGACTTTATGAGACTGTAGATCCTGGTTGTCATACGAGTAATGCGTGCTTCCGTCGCAAAGAGCTCAAGGTCCCCCTAATCCTGTCGCAATCGCAAATTCCCGACGGGGATCTTATATGAGACGGGTAGATCGGAACGCAGTCTGTGGGTTAAGTAGATGTTGGCTACGCGACGTCAGTGAGCAAAACTCAAAACCCCACGTTTGGTACGCGGCTGTTCGTCTGGCGATTGCGCGAGGTGGTTTGACAGTGACGATGTCAAAGAATAAAGCTCAAGCTCAAGCTCAAGCTCCAGCTTTGGGATGAGTGTGAGGGGAGGAGAGGGATGCGAGGGGGAAGGGCGGAAGGGGATAGCTATACCTAGCTGTCTGAGACGTCCTTGCCAGGTTCGCCGCACTGACCTTGAAACAAAACCAGGCCGATCAGCCGGACCACTCAGCGACGCACTCGATTGTCGTTATCACCACTCTCAGTCATGTCAGGACCCCGCAAGCTGCCAATGCTAGTCTACCATGCTCCAAGTGCATAATTATTCTCCGAAATCTTCTATACTGAAAAAAAAGATCCATGGTCTGCACTAGTTGGTGGATGGCCGGTTGGATGGATAGTCGTGATGTCATAACGGTCTTTTGTATTAATATTATTCGGTGGTGACCGTCTAGTCTGCCACCTTCTGGCGCCGTAGCGCTGTCATGTCTAAGTCTCTTTTATCCCTCTTTACCATGTGATATATAGTCATAATGGCTTGCAATGTACAGTCCTCAACCCAGAATCCCTCCTTTAAAAATACTCATCATCTAGGGGTTGCGCTTCTCCCAGTAGATGTTGGCGGGCTCCAATGGCCGTGAGAAAAGGGAGGCGTAGTCTGTGCCGTTGATCTTATTGCTGCCATCGGCGTTGCGGAACTTGAATTCTCTGACAATCATGGCGGTAATGGTCTGCAGCTGCAGGTTGGCAAAGTGCTCACCGATGCAGCGGTGACGACCAGCGCCGAATGGGAGGTAAGGCGATCCGGCACCCTTGCTGACCAAGCCGTAACCGTAATCGATCTTCTCATCATCGGCATCTTCGGGGCGTCCGAGTCTGGGGGCGATAGGAGAGTCGGCGTCCCAGCGGTGGGGGTTCCATTCCTCGGGCTCGGGGAAGTAGACGGGGTCGGAGCCAGAGACACCAGGAGCGGCGAGGAGGGTGTGGCTGGTAGGAATGACGTACTTGGTACCGGGAACGGGCATGGGAGATGTGACGGCGCGCATGATGGAGTGGATGGGGGCGTGCAGGCGAAGAGTCTCCTTGATGATGGCCTGGTTAAGGGGCAGCTTGGCGAGGTCTTCGTAGGTCAGGGGAGGAAGGTCGGCGCCGAGAACACGGACCTGCTCCTCGTAGAGCTCCTCCATAATCTGAGGGTACTGGGCGAGACGAAGCATGATCCAAGAGCTGGTGGAGGAGGAAGAGTGCTGGCCGGCCATGAGGAGGGCAATCATCATGTTGGCGATCTCGTGGTCGGGGACCTTGGTGCCGTTCTTGTAGGTAGAGTTCATCAGATGGGTCATGATATCGAGTCCGTCGGTGCGGCCTTGCTCGCGGCGCTGCTTGATTTCATCCATGTAGATCTGAGCAACGGTGCGCTGGGCGTGATCACGCTTCTTGTTCCAGGGGAGAGGAGCCCAGTGCAGCACAAAGTTGATGGAGGTGAAGCCCATGTCGAGGTCGTGGTAGAGAGAGGCAAGGGACTCGTCAAACTTGTTGCGGATCTCGGCGCCCTGAAGAGCGTGGGAGGCGGTGAAAATGGTGATCTCGGCCAGCTTGGGGGGCAGATTGACGACGCCAGACTTGCCCTTGAAGTCAGGGCTGCGCTTGAAGTAGTTGGTAACCTCGTCGGCAATGATGGGGGTGTAGGAGCGGAAGGCCTCAGTGGTGAGGGCAATCTTCATGAACTGGAGGGGCGCGTAGCCAGTCAGCATACAACTTTGCGCAAACAGAGTTTGGACTGTCCGCATACCTTCTTCTGCTCCATGAGCTTGGCGTTGGGGCAGTCGTAGACAACATCGCGTCCAAAAACGGGAGTGGTCAAAACAGTGTAGATATCCTCAGCATTCACATCCTTGAGCTTGCCGTTGAGGATGAAGTCATTGCCCTGAGTTCCGAGAGCGACCGTGGTCTTCTTGCCGAGGAGAACGAAAGTGAAAACATCGCCAAACTATGGGAGCAGCGTGCGTTAGTAAGAGACCACACGAGGTAGGTGAGAGTTAGTTTCGGTGGTGGTGCGCATACCTTTTCGCGGTTGGCCTTGAAGAAAGCTGGGGGGTCCATGCCATAGATGACGGTGCTGCCGATGAAGGGGAACCAGTGGAAGACCATGGGAGGCTCATTCTTGTTCTTGAAGAGGATCTGGTTTGCGACGTTGAGGATGACAGAGACGACCACGACAGCAGCGAAGACGATTGCGACTTGCGACGCAGTTCCCAAAGTCTGGAACTGCTGGGACACCGGTCCCGCGACTTCTTGGAGGAGACCCATACTGGGCAGATGAGGGTCTGAGGACAGAGGATGCGTCAATCGAAATGATCTGGCGCGGTTGTCGAGGTTGCCTGTGTTTTCGAGAGCAGTGACCGCACGCACAAGTCGAATATCAGTAGCACGAAGAAAGTGGAAGGCATCGAGAAGGGGGGTCCAGCAGTGGTTTTAAATTATCCATTAATGAGATTAGATACCTGCCGCGTTTTGTTGGGTTCCACATTTTCTTTGCGTAACCAAGGAGCACCACTACCTTACGTCTGTGTGCGCCTACCTTACCTCACCTTACCTGGCCAGCCAGCAGCTAGGCCAATGTACCTAAGTATCCGTTGCATAGCGGCCATGGCTAAGGTAGGCGGTCAAGCATTTCGCATGTCAAAAATTGTCGTGGAGCCAAGAAGCTGTGACATCTGGCCACCCGAATCAATTTCGAGGCGTCTGTCACAGGGTTTCTAGCGCATTATGGCAGAGAAAGCCGCGCCGCAACCTCTTCTTCCTTTTGCTTTCTGCCCTTTCTTTCCCATGTTTGCTTCCATGAGATGCCAGGTGCCCCCCAGTGGCCCCCTTTCCACTCGGAAGCACCTGTGCGTCCCTGTTGGTCCATGTTGGTCGTTGCGCCAGAAAATCGGGAACAGGGGAGGGACCAATCGGTGGCACCAGCAGCTCATCCAATGACGGGCCGTTCGTATTCGTATCTGGAGACCCTCCCTGCCTATTCGAGCAATGGGAGATGGGAATGATTCGATGTGTGCTCCAATTCCCCAGACTCTGGAAACCACCTTTGAACGCGATCAAGCCATTTCAAAATTGCCTCGCCGGTGTCGTCAGTTTTGTCATTGCATGCTGCTGTTGTTAACTTCTTACCTCTTTACCATCTTCAGGGGTTCTGGGCTGGATCCTCTTTGCTTCTCATTTGTTTCCAACCCACCTCAGCCCAGCCCATCCGTGCCATCCATCCCACTTTGCTTGACGAAAATCTGCGAATCCTTCCGAGGCAGGTACCAGAGAAGCAGAGAAAAACGGTCTGGCCACTCACATGTGCTCAATTGACAACCCTGGCAACCCGAATAAGAACTCGAGCGGCTCATGCCGTCCACCTCTCCGATGTCCATTATCATTGCCTGCGCCTCCTAACGCGTACTTGTTTCTCATACAGTCTTCAGCTACACAAGGGAAATGACAAGCAGCATATGTCTGGAAGCTCAAGGTCTTATCTGCGAGGAAGCTCATGTCATCTCAAAAGTAAGTATGGACGTAGATGAGGGGCTGCTATTTACCCCTCCATGAGTCCATTCCTCCTCTCATTCTGAATTCACTGAGCTAGGAGTCTAGTCTCTTGAGCCACGGGCAGTACAGGCGTATTGGCATCATCTGACTAATGCATCACAACGGTCTGAGCAAGACATCCTTGCACAACAGGTTTCGACGACTAAGTGAAAGCCACATCCGTTCGAAAACACTGTAGAACCTCACTATACTCATTGTTGCATCCTTACAGATGGGAATTTCATTATCGTTGCTACATGTCTGCAAGCGGTGCCACTTTGCCAGTCGTCCTATGAAGCAAAGATCTTCCTAGATAGCAATAGCCAGACGAACACACGATCTCTGCGATCGAGCTCTGCTTGACACTTGTTGCGGGGTCATGGGCAAACAGCAAGTGGCAGTCTACCTACTGCGAGGGACGAGGAGGGTGCCGTTAACAACGATTACTTTCAACTGATCATGATAGATAAGTAGAAAGAAGCATTGCCGAAGTATCCTTGAACTCTTGTTAGCTTATGACTTGCTGAGTGGTGACGCATGGTGCAAGTCGTCGCGCCAAATTGATTGAGTATGTTCATGTTGCTCGCAACAACTCCGGCGCCGACTCTTATGAACGGGCTCAGCTTTGACTGTTGGCATGAATCAAAGATCAAAGATGCTAGACTCGTCTTATTAATCTTGTCAAGTTGAAGACTCATCGCAGCGACGGACTCTACAACCGGGTCAATGTTTCAAACGCAAGTAACGGAAGGGAAATTTGGACGCATGTGCCGGCGGCATTCATTCGATGGTGTTTCTTCGGGAGTGAATCACCTTCGGAAAGATCAGTATCGACCCCGTTGCGACGCGACACAATAACAAGCTCACCCATAAGCTGAATATAAGCGAAGAACATTCATGTTATATCCCTGCGTTACGAAGATACGATACAATCGGTATATGATGAGAAACCGCCGACGGCCTTATCGTTACGCGAAACTCGGCCCAAGACGGGAAAGGGCTGACAGATTCTCATACATAGGGTGGGGGCTGGGGCTGGGCTCCGGCCTTGGGCGAGGCGGACAGGTTGCCCGCTCGGAGCACTAGAGTAGATTTCATGTCAGCAACATGAAAACAGAGTAAATTAAAGGGTATTAATGCAGAATGAAGAAACGTACAGGTAACCGCCTTAGTGACATGTGCGAGGGCGATAAGCGGAGGGCAAACTCGGTCCTAGTGCTATAAGAGGATCTATTTGGCTGGCTGGACGCATTCCTCTCGGCCAGAAGATGGTGTCATGTCAGTCGAGCTCTTTTACTGAAGCACAACAGTGTCATCCGAACCTGATCCTGGTGCTCATGGCTGCTGCTGTCGTGCAAGACATTCCTTCGGCACTTCGCGTCGATCATCACCAGCTATACCAAGCATATTCCATGGAGAATACATCACCAAACTTGACGGCGACTTCTGTACCATTCACTACATCTGTCGCCTAAATGATACTTTGATAACCTCACGAAGCCAGATAATCGCTCGCCCATAACTCATGGCGAATTGCTCAGCAAGTTGTCAGCAACTTGTCAACAAGTTGCCATCCGACATATTTCTCTGTGCCTGGGACGAGTATTACACGGCACCGTGCCTCCTATTTAAACCGTCATCGCAGGCCACATCTCTTGACCCTTGCGATTTATCAGGCCCATATAAAGGAAGTCTTGTGCTTGCATGATTGGTATTGGAGGGCAGGGTATGCGAAAATGCCAGCTCGCTTGTGATCGAACGCGTTCGGCTGCATAGTCCCGGATGCCCGTTGAGTCACGACCATCGCCCATCGTGGGAAACACTCGTCACCAGAGTGCCTTTTCCTGTTGCCCGACGATACCCGGGTAGTCATTCTTGAGTTGTAAAAAGCTGCAGTAGCGTTTGCCAGCGACGGACGACGCACCCAGAAGCGACTTGCAAAAGCCCACATGGTCCATCGCATGCTTTTTACAGAGTTCCTAGAAAAAACAGGAATGGCAAGGATATGACGCATGTCATGCCCTGTCCTCGACCCTTCTGCTTCAATACATGAGAAAGACTACAACATAGACAATAGCGATCTCTTGTCACAGACAAGATAGTGAAATGCTCACAAAGCCTGTCTGGACAGCATGTTGCAAATTTGACATATGACGGTGCCAAATGTTAGTATGCTTGTTCATGGGACCAGTCTTACCTACAGTTACAAGGTCAGGAGATTACCGCTTTGTAAAGATGTTGGTCTGAAAGGGCACGAGTACTGTATGGCGGATGGTGTTTATCACATACCTCATAGCAACATAATCAAGTTTCCTTGGTAGCATAAGTACTCATCAATACATGATCAGATCACACGGAGAACAAGCTAAAGTTTAGAGAGATGTCTTTCTTAAGACATTGATTCTTGCTATCTAGCGTCTAGACTATAAAGTCTGCGCTCCTTGTTTGATGTTTGTCTGGTTGTTTTTTTGTGTAATATAATTAGTTGATGCAGTAACGACCGTCGGCCATGGCAATCCGCCAGCCCTGAATGCATGCAGTTGGTTATGATATAAAGAAATCAAACTGCAGAGGTATCTCTTTTGTGTAAAAACCCAGAAAGGAAGAATCCACGCCAGAAATGAAAAAGAGGAAAACAGAGAGAAAAAAACAAGCAAGGTACTTTTTGCCTTTGTTTGCTTTGGACGCCGTAAACACCGGAAACCATGCTATGATGAAAAATAGTTGAATGCTTTCCTCATGGCCCGAAATATACAAGCCATGCATGCCCTTCCTTTATTGTTTCTGTAGAAATGTAGGCGGCAGTCATCGGGGTAGCTCAGAAGGACATACCAGTCCATCCATAAGGCCCGTCGACGTTGACCCAATTGTGTGCCTCCATGGCGGACTCCCAGCCCATCATGACGGCAAGCAGGCGGCAACCCATGGCGCTGACGGTGCAGACAATCGCATCGCTGGCGTTGGCGAGCACAGCAAGGTCCATCATATACGCGCGACCAATGTAGCCGCGTAGTCGAAGAGTCTCGGCCGAGGGAGCCAGCTGCATGTTCTTCGCCGTTGCAGCGTTGGACGCGCTCATTGAGGAGAGCCCAAGATTCCAGAACATGGCCGCAAAGAAGCCACCCTCCCATCCAAAAGACTCGTCCTCGAAACGGTGCATGACGTGCTTGTCCGTGGCGGGCTTGTGGGTCTCCTGCTTGGAGGCAAGACGGATCTGCTCCTGGGCACGCATCGAGCCCTTGAAGTCCTCGGAGTCGTACACGGTCGGGTCATCGGATGCCATGACAATCAGCGACTGCTTCTTGGCAAGTTTGTCGTCTGCACCATCTCTACCGGTGTTGTTGTAGTTGGCGTCAATAATCTCCTGGGCGCGGTTGGCGATGATCTCCATCGGGATGTATGTGCCGCGGTATTTGTATTCCAACGGGTGACAATCCCCATGCCGAATATGCACACCAACTACAAGACCGTCGTTGGGGTTGGCGTCTCCTGTGAGAGACTTGGTCTTGACCTCCTTGACCCTGTTGATGACATACTGAGTGTCATCCTTGTTGAGATCAAATAGTGCCCGGTAGCCGTCGTGCGCGAGATCGAATAGTTCGCGAAGACCTTCCTCGTCCTGTGCACGGAAGTCGGCATAGGGTTTGCTCAAAGAACCGGCCCAAAGAGACTTGGCCGTTTCTGAGGTGACCACCAAGTGGCGAGCTCGGGGAGGACAGGGAATCATCTCATGACGTGGTGGTGGGCGGCAGTTGGGAATGGGAGGCGGTTGGAAGATGTCGGTGTATTTGCCATACGCCCACCGGGAGTCGTCGATGAAGAAGGCTCGGCCCTGCCTCTGTGCAAGCCCGTAAAAGGTCCAAAGCTGCATGATAGAGTGTCCGATTCCGGCGTCTTCAGTCTCCAATACGAAAGTCATTGACCTCTGGCAAACAGGCTTCTCAACCAGAGAGTCCTTATTCTCTCCAACGAGGTCTCCGTCTCGGCCCTGACCCTTGCTCGGCCACTGACTAGTGGCAAACTCCGGGAGGAGACCTGATTCCTGGGCTTCCGTGACATCGATAAAATATGGATCGGCCGGGGCATCGTTGCTCAAGAGGTTCTGGTCGGTGACCTGAGAACGGTGTCGCATGTCCCTCACACGGGCAGCCACCTCACGGCACTTGCTACACATGTCTCCATATTCCTTCACTGACAATGGGAAGTCGTAACTCGGGGGGATCGAGACAGTCCATTTCGATTTGCCACTCTTGTCGGTGATGACGATAGGAGTTGGGAAGTCTGGCAAATCATCCTGCCCTACCATCTCAAAGTCATCGTTTTTGCCAAGATGAGGCAAGTTGAGCTTCGGCACGCCGAAGATGCTCCGGAAAGGGAAGGTCGCAAAGTAGAGGAAAAGCGCTCCGAATGCAAACCAAAACGTGAATCGAAATACGCGACTGGGCCGCGGGTGGATGGGTGATTTTCGGGGAGGTGGGATGAGGGCCGGTAAGCTTGGGGACGGCGGCGGCGACGAGAAGAGCAGGTGATTGAAGCTGAAGCGGGACGAGGTGGCGGACAGCGGAATCTTCTCGTAGTTGGTGTTACCCGTATGTGAGGCAGACCGTCGCAAGTTCATCCGCGGGTCAGAAATCGACAGCTTGGATTTGCTGAGATCCAGAGGAGCTGGCATGTTTGCTCGCATTATAAGCAACGGGGTAGTAGAAAAATTGTTGGTATCCAAAAGAAGTAGAATTCGTAGAGTCGTCGTTGTTGGGGGTCGTGTCCACTAATAAGAAGCGGTCCCAATGGGTATCTTGTAAGAGGGTTCGAGCTTGGAGCTTTCAGAATGGAAAATAGACTGATGATGGTCTTAGTAAAGGAGTGTCGGATGGCTTCGAGCCTGGTTGGTCATTGGCAAGAGGATCTCCTTCCTTCTAGGAGGCGTTCATGATAGTAACTGTTCCAGCAACGGTCGCACAGGATCGGAGGTCGACGTGGGCAGGCGGCAATGCGGTGGCCAGCGCGGTGGAAGACGAGCAATGCAGCGTGCGTTCTGTGTACAGGACGAGACCGAGGCCGGGGGCGCGATCGGGTCAGGTCTGAAGGAAGAAGAAAGGTATGGTGAAGAAACCGGGGGAGGCGGGGATAGAAGTAAGGTCGTGGGCAGACAGTGAGGGACGGAGCAAGGTGAGGCAGACTCGGCCAACTTCTTCTTTTCGGGCCAAGACTCCAGGCAAGGTACGAACACTCAGTACGGATACTCCGTGGCCTCCAGGGTAGCAGCTGCAGGAGGAGGAGGAGCTTAAAGGTATCCAGCGGCTACGCAGAAAGTGGCCGACCCTTGTCCGAAATCAAGCAGAGAACGCAGTGAAAAAAGAGCCAAGGGGACCCAAAGGGGACAACCGAAAAGGATGAAAAGTGCGATCAACTGCGTGAAGTAAATGACTGATGGTGGGTCTTGGCGGCGATCATCAGAGACCAGGGTTCGGTTGGAGTAGGAGCTTCAAGCAGTGGTGGACTCAAGAGGCTGGTATTGCCCCGTATGTTCGGCCGGACGTTGCGTATGGAGCGGGAGAAACTGGATCAGGCTGCAGCCATTGCTGTAAGGGAAAATCGGGAGGGTAGAGAGACGACTACTTAATAGACTGGGTTGGACGCCGGCTTGCCGACCGAAACAGTCTTGTATGTCATGTAATGCTGCTGGGTGCGTCGTGGACCGGTTGTCTCGTCCGCGGTCTGTGGTATATTGTTTGCAACAATGTGCCCCGTCTTTGCCTGTGTTCGGCCCTGGCGTTCCCCTCTAGGCTTTGGCTCTGGCTTCCCGGCTTTTGGACAAACTCTATCCGATGCCAGTCCGAGTGACAGCGAGAGGATGAGGGAGTATGGTACTGCGCGGTAATTGGGCAGAAGCGAAGGATGAAGATGGGACGATGAGTTGTTCGTCCGGGCCTTTGACTTGATACCCGGTCCAGCAGCGCCGAGAAGGGGGAAGAACCCAGAGGCGAAAGTTGAGAAGGGGGGTGCGGCGTGCCGAGCAAAAAGATGGGCCGAAGGATGGGCAGATGGGGAAGGGCGGGAAGATTGGGGGGACAAGAGGTGTCAGAGCTCCTAGGAGTCTAGGAGGTGTCGTGTGGTGTGCGAGTGAAGCGCAAGTGCAGCGTCAATGTCCGTGGGATGAGGTGTCAGCTGTTGCTGTCAATGCCTTGACTTCTTGCTTTTCTGTGATGGTGTTGGTGCCGTGATGGTGCCTCGTCTAATAGAAACTCGGGTGTGGCAACGGGCCTTGCGTTTGCAACAAAGGACAAAGACTATGTTTCTCACGCTTTCTTTCTACCTGAGTTCGGTTAAGACTTGAGAGGGAAAGGAAAAAGTCTGGGGCGCCCGTTGTCAAGAATAAATCCAATTCAGCGGTCTTTCGCATTCAGCCTGATCGGCCTGCTTTGGTCTCTGCCCTTTTTTGGCTCAATTGCAACGGCGGGGGTAAGGTGGACCAACAAAATGCGTCAAACCCGGTGTGCTTGACAAAAGGTATGACGATTGGCAATGGTCAATAGCTGAGCATCCCAGAAAACCCAACTGCGAAACCATGAACCGAAGCAGCCGCGTGGCGGTGCGAGGTTCCATGGTGGAGGGAGCAGCATTTACAGGCTACAGGCTCCAGCAGTAAGAGCAGTGAGAGCAACAGTAGTAGCAGATCGTCCGAGGCTGGGCGGGACGGAGTTTCTGATTCTTGCAGCATCATGATCGTCCCCCGAATAGAAACTCAGTTCAGGGTTTCCCCTCGAGCCCCTCATCTTCAGCTGGCCCTTTCACGTCGTGTCATTGCTCCAATGCTGCTCTCACTATTGCCAGGGAGCCAGAAGAAGCAAGAAGCGAGGGAGATCCCACGGGATCGTCATACCCAAGGCGATCCCGCAGCAGTGACCACACGGTCGAACCCAGGCAGATGCCAAAGAGCCCCAACAACCGTCGACACGTCCCTACATTGTGACGGGCGGATGGACGGTTGGCGTTGTATTTCGCATGGGGGGTTTCGCGAAAGTCGGAACCTCGCGGCGAAAGTTGCAACACCATGAAAAGTGGGCAGTAGCTTTTTCAAGGCCAACCTTGACAGACGGAGCCCAACGGTGAGCCCCAAACCAACCTAGCCGTACTCCGTAAAAGAAGTGGAAAATTCGCCTCCAAGAAGACACCGAGGTCAGAAGGGGGAGCAGCGCGCATTGCATCTGCGACACTGGTTGACTGGTTTGCGGGACCGGTCGAGTACGCGCTGAGTAAGTTCCCAAAAAGGAAGCCGATGGTTCAAGGGTAACCCGCCGCGCAAGTATTTTCCTGGTATTGTGCATATGCCATCCACACAAGGTAGGTGCTAACTTGGTACTTGCTACCTCTTTAGAAGTCAGGAAGTGTGTGTGGTGTTGGGCGGAGGAACCTCACCGTTCAGTCGCAGCTTCCCAAATGCTTCTCCCCCCACCTTATGTGGTCGCCGGTCACGATTTTAGCACGTTTCAGAACCTCCGGGGTGATGAAGCAGCCAGTCAGAGCCCGCATTCTTGTGTCCCTGAGCCGCAGGGGTCCTCGGATGAGATCCGCCCCTCTCCATCCCAACAGGCCAATGAGAAGACGTTTTTAGTGCCTCCCGCAACGTCTTCTACTCCTTTCGGCGCTCTTACTCTCATCTCTGGCCTCCCATTGGGCATCTTGGTTACCGCACCTCCATCGCACCTCCATCTCGTTCCTCCCGGACCTTCTCCCGAAGACGGTCATCACTTCCTTTCTCTAAAATCTGAAAGCGCGTTCCTCCTCCTCTCGGCTGTCAGTGTCACGAGTGTCAACTCATGATCAAGCGCCGTTCCAGTTCGCTCATTCCCAAAAAGGTCATAAGACGGTCCTTCGGAATATTTGTGATGGGGATTGCGGGACCGCTTTGTGACTCCTTTTCCTACCATCTCTTCACCCTCAATCTATGACTTGTGCAAATTCTTCTCATCCCGTCCGCTTGGCTTCCCTCTCGCAAGTCCGTATCCCCAACGCGCTTCTGCATTTTCATCTGCACGTTACAAGGGTACAGAACCGCCGTAATAGGCTCGGACTCGTCGTCAAAAATATGTCACGATTCGAGGCACACACGCACACACATCCGCACTCCCAAATCCAGAAGGCCGCACGTGGACATCAAAGATGGGGAACTCACACCCCTGTCGCGACCCCTTTCTGGATCCCCCAATTTTGGGTCAATTCCGAGCAAGGAAAAACAGAGGGAAAAGGGCACTGCACAAACTGGGTTACTGAGCGTTGACATACTGAGTATATACCAGGCCGTTGGAAAGAGAAAATCTGCTCTAGTTCATTTTCCCCCTCCCCGCGCGCGCGGGATCCGCCGTCCTGGACTCCTACCTTGCTCGCTGTCACGCTGAGCACTTTTTAAAGTGGCATCTAAGCTCGGCTTTCCCGCCCGCGCCGTTGAAACCTTGAAGTATGACCCAATTACGAGGAAATCAGCGAAGCAAAAGGTAAAATACACAGCAAGCTGCAAAACAAGGCGTCACCATCACAATTACTATCGTCAGACGGGGGAAATAGTACAATGTCGTACCACCTACTGTGTAGTCTCTCACAAAGGCAGAAGGGAGCAAACAACTTCTTCAACTAGCCAAACACAGCATCTCTGTGCTCAGTCACAGACTCACAGGATCGCCCAAGCACCAACCAATGGATCAGCAATTACACCCACCAACCGAGACAGACAGACGGCAGCTGAGAGACACGGCTCCACGAAAGAGTCAGGGAGAGTCAGAGAAATGAGGCCAACGACTGGTCGGTGATCAATGATTGACAAGAGACAGAGAGTCATGAGTGACAATCTAGGTTTCGTCCTTTTTGTCTGCAGATCGCCATACTTCGTGCTGCGCAAGGTAGGTATTCGGTACTCGGGACCGGGGGGTGCAAGTCCCCATTTGCGTCATATCAAAACAAATTTTGATATTGCGATCCATCATCATCAATCACGCAGTGCAGCAAAACCGCGCCCATGCCCGTGCCCGGCAGGCAACCAGGGAATCAACAGATATCGCGAACCCACTCCCGACTGTTCCCTGTTCAACTGGGAAAGAAAGGCTCCATCGCAAGGCGCACGCGTCAATGACAAGTCATTGTCTCTTTTCAGAGTTTACGCCAACAAACACCAAACCACCCATCACAAGATTGATGATGGAGAAGCCTAAAGTCCCATGGGAAACCTAGATAGACAAGAAAGAAGAAAGAAAATAACGAAACCGAAAGAGGCATGATCCAGGTTTACAAGGCTTTCAAGGCTTCATCCGAGTCAAACCCCATCACCGGAAACTCAAATCAGCTCGCTCCCTCACAGCAAGTCTCGAACCCGTGTCCCTGCCCCATTCAGCCTCCTTCCACATGGGCAAACAAACAACTCTCTGTTCAGCAGCCCGTTTTCCAAATCTCACCAAAACTACTCCGTACAATCAGTCATCACCACCATCAATCCAAATTACACCCCAACGCTCCGCGCGCCCGTGCTCGCTCCCGACCGTGCACCCGCCACTTCCGTCCATCGGGTCTCGTCTCTGCCGCCACGCCGCGATCTCTCCGTATTCAAACCCCTAAGCCACACGGGAAGAACTTCAAACCACCACCACCAACAACGTTAATGCTCTTTGAGATTTTGCTCTCTCCTTTTCCCCGCTTGCCATCACAAGCATCCCCCTCCCTTCTCCTTTCCCGATCCAGCCATCTAGCCTCTCGCCCAAAACCACAAGATTCCCATGTGCAAAATCAGCGAGGAAAGCAGAACTAAAAATAAGCTCCTCAAAGTTTCGCGCGCCCGCCCGACCCAAGCTCACGCACCCCTCCCCTCCTTCTCCTTCGATCCGCCTCGTCAAACCGTCATCTTGGGAAGAACCTGCATCCCGTAAACTCTGTTTGCTCACCCAAGAAAGCACTCTGAAAATGATGGTCGGGAATCGCCGAGATTGCACCTTTGTGATGGCCATGTGATGATCTGATATCTTTGTGATGGTCTGTGATAGCTTTCCTACGTTACCGTTGAGATTCTCGAGTACTCATTTTGCATGAGATGAGAAACTCACGCTAGGGTTGAACTAAGACGCCTTGATCTGACATCGCGACTAACATGCGGCCCCCCCTTCGATATGGCGTTGAGAAGGGTCGCCCCGTCTGCCATCCCCCCCTTCCCCCGCCCCCTCTCTCAACGGTCGTCCTCCGCCTATCCTATTCTGCAATCTTAGATTCACCAAGTCCCGGCTAGCACTCCGTCTCGTGAGGCGACCTGCGTTGCCATCAAACAGAACTGGTGGTCACAATGGCTAGCAAACAGAATGCAGCAATCCGCGAGGTGAAGACGTGACACATTGTGACGGGTCCTTGCGATTGGCACACCGTTTCCCCAAGTCGATTATACATGCGCGTTGTAGGTCCAACGGGCATGTAAACCAAACGTACCGAAACAATCATCTCCGCTGTTTGGCTTCGATCACGGCCACAGTCACGGGTACGAGCACGGGTACGGGAAGGATGGTGGCATTTGATGGATCGTGGTATTCTCTTCTTCTGGATGTCGTAACCGCTCATCCGTTATTAGCTAGCTGACCAGGCCTGCTTTCTGATGTACGTGAGCCATCATAATCATCCATCAATCCAATATTAAACTGCCACAGGCAGGCCTCGTCGCTTTTCCCAATCCTTCTCTGAAACTTCCGCCAATATCAATATCCTGAGCCTGCCTAATGCACTGGGACCACACCTGGTCGTGCAGTGCCTGAAATCTCTGCCGACTCCTCCTTCATGGGCGTATCAGTACGCTAATAAAACAAACCGACAGTCTCAGCTAACGTCGAAAGAGGGTGGCTTGAACCGCCGTTCTTCCAACCAGCGACTACGGCGAAGTAAAGTGTAGGGTATAAGAAGAAAAAAAACAAAACCAGATCGTTGTCGACCTTTCCCGAACGCCTTTCTGGCCTCGTGAGGCACCCTCGCGAAGTCCAACCATTCCCACACCAGATATAAACGTTGAAACTCACACTCCCGACAGAAAAGACCGTCTCACATGCCCATCA